CACCGGCTATTGAACAGCTCATACCATCCCCCTTCATACCATTTCTTCAACATAGCACCTGATAGATTCCCAACATCCTTCCCCGAAATTCATGCATTTTCAATTTTCTCATCCAGCATCTCAACGTCAGGATCACCACCACCATTGCCTGTGATAGACTCGAAATTCAGGATGTATGAAAATATCCTTCATAAGCGTTCATAACGTCCTCTTACTGACTCTGCACTGCATCTTCCTTTGAATATCTTTTCAGAGATCTGTATTGATCAGTGTCAGCACTGAGCTTAGTAAGTTCAATTCACGTTTCCATTACCTGCAAGGCCTTCATAGAACTCGCTATCACCTCCAAGAAGGGTCTCGAGCAAAAGTTTGGTGTCCTCGTCTGACCAACGGCCATCTTCTTCAAGTCGAGTCATTGCTTGTTCTCCTTCAACTTTGGTCTTCAACTTTGCACCTGTGGCTTTCCACTTTGATCCTTTCGTGGAACGAGGCTGAATTTGGTTGGTACCTTCGCTAGGTTGAGTTACTGACTTGCCATTCGCTTTCCGTATCTTCTTTGTACTGTCTCTTTCTCCTGATAGGTCATTGCACTCTTCCTCACGTTCTCATTTCTGTTGTGACCCAGCTGCCACTGGCAACTGTTGCGAGTTGATTGGGAGAACTGTCCTGTCACTTGGTATGTCATTCGTTACTGGCGGCTGTGAATTGACTTGGGGAACTCTCCCATCACCAGGTGCCTCGTTTGCCTGACTATAGGCAATCTTATTTGGATTTGGACGAGGCTGATTACAGTGTTCGAGCATCTGGTGAATGCGGGGTAGCTTTGACTTGTCAGTATATCTTGAGCACTTCGGTTGTGTCAAAGACTGACCTGTACACCACTAGATTGTTGGATATAAGGCTGGCCAGGCTGGGAGACTGGGGCATAGGCCTGGTCTTCGTGAGCCCAGCTAGTATTTTCATACTCGAAAATTAGCCATGTATGAAGCTAGTGAAGATGAATGTCCTACCGCTGAGCCTCATACCACTGGTAATTATCTCGCTGTTCTTGATAGGGCCTCAGGCTATATGTAGGCACTACTGCCTGGGGCTGGTGACCACTTGCGGAATGCTGTCCTCTCCCACCTTGTGACAAAATGCAACTGCGACCATGTGATGGGTTCTGCTGTTGATATTGGCCTGGATTTGGAAACTGACGTGGATTGCCTTCATTAGTGTCATGACCAGCTACATAATAGCTCATTATTCACTGCTCAGCGAGAGTTTCAACAGTTTGTCAGACTCAGAGACGAAGCCAGGCTGTCATCCGGGCTCGGAACCATTTGCAGAGGCGGAAATGAAATACATTAATTGGTTGTTGACATAAACAACTCTAAATCTAAGTGAAACGACAACAACATTTTAGAATTGAGCATCCCTTGTGGAGATAAGGAAGATAGGATGATGTAAGTATCTAGTACAAGAAAAAATGAATATCAAAAATACAATAGCAGAACGACATCAGTTGCTGGCTATGACTTGGGAATAATGTGCTTACAAAAATATATCAGATCTGATGTAGCTGAAGGATCACTCACCGTGCCACTAAATTGGGACTAGTGAACATTGCAAGGTATGCTGCTTATGAACACAAAATATAACCTTATCTGACATGTTACAGCGAGTAGTAAGTAATGGAAAGTTATACAATTGTTATTTATAGAAGAAACGTAAAATGTAAAGGAATAAGTGCATAGCACAAATATGATATCGATTACAAAGGGAGGGAATGAGGAACGATGGGGCCTGCCAAAATGACGAAAGAATGTCTGCACATAAAAGGCGGTCGCAGCATGCATGACTTCCCAACACTTGGTATCAGTGAAGTTTTCTGGGGTCAGAGGCACAACCAGAGGCGGCGGGACGTCGTTCCAAGCACAGAGGAGTTCCCGGAATTTTTCCAGGTAAGGCAGAACACCAATTAAGGTGTTATTCCACATGCCGTAGTTATCCCCCGGAAATGGCTCTGACCACATGACCAAACCAGCCTCGCCTGGAAATATGGAATGAAGGAGTTGCTCGTGACTGGTCGGATCATCTGCCCAGCGTTTATGGACTAAGTGGCGATCGAGATCCCTCAGTTCATAATGGAAACCGAGCTCATATAACTCCCATGTAATCCTTTGGGCGAGACGGCATGGAGGGTTAGCGAGACTGGCAACCGACACTTGTTCGCCGCGAAATTCCACCGATCCTTCTGGTGCAAACAAATCTCTGTGAGTCTCCAACACATCGTCACCAAATAAGTCCCTCATCACCGCCTTTCGCTTCTCCGCCGCCATAAGACCCTTCTTTTCGGGATCTTTGCCTTTGGGCGCAGCACCTTGTGATTGGGTTGTCAATCCGCTGCCGAGGAAGTCGCACCAGAGCTGTGGCGAAGGGTAATTGCGTGGTGGGTCGTGATCAACTCGGCAAATCCATAATGGACGACAAGCAAGCCAGGTGGCAATATAACCTTGCAGGTGCTCCGGTAGCTTTGGACCGAGGAGAAGAGCGAGTTCGGGGAATCTGTATCCCCGATCAATCGCATAGGGCATATGCACACAAGACGGATCCTTTGTGCAAGTTTTGAGGGCATCATCCCAGTGTAAGATAGACAGCGGAAGATATGGGCTTTCAGGATCTTTCCACTTGTCCCTGGATTCGCCTGACTGGGACAGTTGGGTGGGCCGAGCCTCTCTCGCATCTGATACAGTAGTAAGTAACGTAACCGATTAGAATAGGTTCACCTACAAGGTTGTCGCCTATACTTTTTCTGACTTTTTTGAGGGGCCTTTCCAGCAGCAGATGGCTTAGAGCATGACGGAAGAGTAGAAGAACTGGGCGTAGAGAAACTGCATGTTGAAGCAACCGGCCCATCGGGATTTTTGAAAGTTGTGCCGCCGTATAGGCGGCGAACGTGAAGTTGATGCTGGTGGCCACCTTGACCACGATAGATGATGTCGTAGGGGCGGATTTTGTTGCCCTCTGCGTACATCGAGATGACAATGTCATCTGGATGTGTGATTAATACGGGTTTCATCACCTTCATATTAGCGGATATGTACGCCATTGTACGGACATACCAGACGGGGACGCCAGCCATGTGGAGCTTGTTGCACATGTCACTGTCGTGCGTGAAAGCGCCCATCCAGGCTGAATTGACAGTGTTGGCTCTAATGCTGGAGGAGATGCGAGGTTGGACGATGAGAACCCAATCCATGAAGGAGTGAATTTCAAGGAATAGGTGTTGGGCATCCGTGACGAAGATGAGGAGATTGCGAAAGGTTAGGGGATGTTTTTTGAGCTGCGAGATACCGTGTCGAAGAGATGCAACGCGATTGACGATGACGTCGTTCTTGCCTTGTCGATTGGCCCTCCAGTCCTGGACACGCTTGTCTGCCATTTTCAGGAGTGACTCCAATCCTTCGACCTTGTCAGAAGCTAATGTGCCTACAGGAAATGAGTTGCCTGGAATGGCCTTGAAGTCCTTTTGGTCGGGGGTGAACCATGCCCAGTGAAGCGTGTGTGGGAATGGGTAGAGCTCCTTACGGGGAATGCAGACAGAATTGCAAAAGATGTTGTCGTAGGCTTGAGGCCATTGAAAGCAGTCGATGACACCAAAACGCCCATCGGCACGTGCTTGTACATTTTCTTCCTCAAAATGGTGGAACTGAGGGACGAAGTCCATGTTGGGCATGGTGATGACCAAATTGCCCTGGACGGCGACTGCGTAGGCATCGAAAGATTGCAACCACGCTGTGGTATGCATGCGCATGAGTAAGTTGAAACGTTAAGTGAGGAGCATCACATACATGCACGAAGGTTCGGATCAGCCTTGAACATCGTCAAAGCGTTGGGCATGATGAAAAACTACAAAGTTTAGGAGGTGCGATAACAGGCACAAGAAAAACACACCTCAAGAGTTTGATTTTGTATTATGAGAGTCTAAGCACCGTTCAATATACGGTTGGTGAGGTAAAGGAAAGGGCACTTACCAAAAAAAGAAGATGTATCTAAAGTAACAAGTACTATAGTGTGTGAAGTACAATGAGTATCATGAGACGTTATGATAGATGAAATATATCAGAAACTCACCGATTAGACCGACGAGTGAAATGTGAAACGATTGGCATACCTGAAAAATCAGAGAAGGTCTGCAGGAGTGTGTGGCGCACCAGAGATAACGAGATATGAGACTAAGCACACCCAAGAGGGTCTTCAACCCCACTGGCGCAGCAACGTGTGAGCGACCGGGGTGACCCTCCAGACGCGAAGTCTATGAGTGGAAGATCAGTGACGCAAAGTCAACTAATCAATGAGCAAACAGCACGAAGCCAGTTCAAAAGCGCCGGGGACCTTTGAGGGATCAATTGCAGTGATGAGGTTGACGAGTTCAACGAGCTTGATGAGTTTGATGTGCTGAGTGACGAAGGACCGCTCAAAGTTGGGAACTGACGGTAAGGAAAGAACTTGAAAGAAACTAGGGGAAGGGAATACAGAGAAGGAAATAGACAAGAAACAAAGCTGTGGGAATTTCCCAAATCGCAGTTTCATTTGTCGAAGTTTGTGAACCTGTGGGAAAGTCCCAAAATGCAACATGTCACAGTTTCATACTGGACACGGACCAGCATCGATAACATTATCACTCCATCCTCTATACTATTCCCACCCTCGATTATGCTTTCCCCGTCCTTGATTATGCCCCCCCCGCCCTTGATTGACCTTCCAACGGTTCCCGGCGCTTTTGAACTGGCTTCATGCCGTTCGCTCATTGATTAGTTGACTTCGCGTCGCTGATCTTCCACTCCTAGACTTCGCGTCTGGAGGGTCGCCTCGGTCGCTCACACGTTGCTGTGCCAGTGGGGTTGAAGACCCTCTTGGGTGTGCTTTGTCTTGTATTTCGCTTGTCTGTCGATTCACATTTCACTAGTCGGTGTAATCCATGAGTTTTCAATATATTTCCATCATAATGTCTCCTGATGCCCATCACACTTGACTCTGGCACTCGTCACTTCATGTCAACGCTTTCCAATCTCACATTGAATCATATACATTTATCTACAGCATCAGTGAGCCGTGTCTACACATCATTCGCTTAGCAACATACTCATTCACACTTCAACACAGGATATGACTTCTATTGAAATTACCCAGCGGCTATTTGGCAATTCGTTGAAGACTTCAGTCATTGGTGAGTGCATTTACTTTGTTTATTCACTTGCAATAAACGCATAGACGACAACATAGGATACCTCTGTTTTTGACCTCATCCAATCAGTATTCCGAGTACCTGTGTCACAGTAGGCAGGTCTTCAAATCATCTCAGACAAACACTCTGTGCAACCCAACCCTGTGAGCTGGATTATGTATTTCTGAATGTGTCAGGGCTAACTGGTACTCATTAGCTCAAATTTGATCTCATAGAATATGTCGCTCAACTACGGGAAGGAATTCTAGAGACATACACTGTAGTCGTCACTGCATTCAAGAATACCGAGAAAGGTTTGCATTTTTCTTGTAGATTCATCTTGCCACTCACAATCGTCCCTAGCACCTGCACTACTCCCTTACGTGCCATCCTTGAGCTCATCCATCAATGTCTAGCAGACGAGGGAGATCCAACTCTATTGTGAAACTCTCCTTTGGCCTCATCGGTGACCTCGCAGACTGATTCCCCGACGACCAGATCAAAGAACACCTGCTAGAGGAATGGATTGCACATGAATTCCGTAGTAAGCGTGGTATGCAACAAGAGATGAAAGCACTGCGGTGGGCCCGTGAAGTGAGTATTCTCACCTTATCTTTTCACCTCCACGAACACTGACCTTCCACCCAGATGGTCAAACACGTACCTCACACCTTGGCCATGCTAGTATCTGGAGCAGCCACCTCATGCTTAATCCCTCATCTACTGGCCAAAATCTACATGTACCTTACGCTCTTGATGATATACTGTAACATCCTGACTTCTTTTGTAGGAAACGAGCAGCCTTCTCATCTCTCAACATTCATTTGCTAATGCCTGGTGCTCAGGTACATATACTTTTAGGTGTCTGACTTGTTCTTAAGCAATCGGCAGGCCTGGATGTTTCTCTAACCATATGATACGGTGACCTACCAGCCGAGATTCTTATCACTTCTCAAAAACATAAGTTCTCAAAACAGTGAGATTTCCTAGCTAGGTCTCTGACTTAATCGATCGATCATAATTTTCTTCTTTTAGTCACTTGTAAGGGGTCTAGCATTGTACGTAGCCACTACCCCCGACCTACAGTATGGCCAAGGTCGCTATTGCAATTATGGTTTCATTCTTTACTGCTAACCATGTTTAGCTTCAGGGCTGTGCCCCACTACTAGTAGTGATAATTGCAACAACGCCCATCATTTTCAAATATAAAGGTAATGAGTCTCAATTCGAGCACATCAAATTCTACCTTCTCAAACCAATATTGTTTTCAGTTTGCTCTCCTACTTATTCTTACATTGTCTGACTTCGTGTCAGTCAAACATTGTTGAGCAAACTTCAAGTTCTCAACTTGTGTTCCACGTATCTCCGCGATCGTAGGAACACTATCATTTCTCTTGAAAATGCCTGCCGTTACTACCCGCTCAGGCCGTCACATCAGGCACCCACCTCTGCCTGATCAACACAAGGTATTTTTTTTTCTTTCCTTGATGTCTTCAGCAGCTGACTCCTCTATCATGTCAAGACTCGCAGGAAGGCGTCCAATGCGGATAACGTCGAGGCAAGTCTTGTCTTCTTGTTTCAAGCTTTGTCCATCATGGTTAATTTCCCATTATTTTAGGCCCTCGAACCTCCAAAACGGTCTTGCCCCCGCCCCCGCCGTCGCACTGGCCCCAAGAGTGTTATCGACCACAGTGACGACCATCCAGAGGTAAGTTGTGATTGCCATGTGTTGATATCCACACTGACCTCTTAGCTGTCTATTCGTCCTCCACCCAAGCCTTGTCCGCTTGCACGGTCCAAGTGTTTGGGCCCCATGACCTCATCCGCTGAAGAGGAGATTTTTGAGGCTAGTTTCTCAAGGCGCTCATCAATGATTCCAGCAAATTCCGACGTCGCTATCGATCAGCAATCCCACCCGTCTCATGTTCAACTTGCTGATGGCACTTCGTTAACACGTGCCGAATTTTGCCTCCTTGCAGATGAAGAAGTATCTGCTGACATCCAAGAAGGCGATGTAGAATCAGGCAAGCATTTTATTATGGTATGAATGTCCTGTCTTAACTTGTCACTTGCCAGCTCCTACACCCGTTACTGGAGAACACGCCACTACTGCGAGTGAGAATCCGAATGCTATCTCTCAAAGTCAGACAAACGATCTCAATGGTAGGAATGTCAATGACCAGGGGACTTCAGGTGAGACATATTCACTCTTTTGTATTTCATAGCTCAACCAATAGTAATGTAGCTACTTGTACTGAGTCCCACGATGCAGGGTATAGCAACAAGGATCATGGCAAGGATACTTCAGGTCAGTCAATTCTTTTGTATTTAATAGCTTAACTAATAGTAAATGCAGGTACCTCTACTGAGTCACACTACCCAGAGGAAGGCGGGAATGATGATGGCCACAAAACTTCAGGTAAGTCTTGAACAATTTTCGTATTTCATAACTCAATTAATATTGAATACAGCTACTTCTACTAACAGCCGCCCACATAGGTCAGGTGGCGTCAAGTCATATGCACCTGATCGCAGTGCTGGTGAAGACGACGAGGCTCCCTCTGAAGCCGATCCCCCATCTCCACCGTGATTGATGGCCAAGCAAAAGCAAAAGCTCAAGGTAACGGTCGAGGTCGATGAACATCACGGAAGCGAAGATGAGGACGACGAAGACTTTGTGAAGACCAAAGGAAGAATGCCCCAAGTAGGCATCTTAAAGGCGCAAGAGCTTGGGAAGAAGACGTTGGAAGCCACTAGAACACTGGGTCAAGAATATGGGAAGAGTGCGCAGACAATCCTCATCGAGGCTGGGTTGACTATGAAGGCTACCCGCAAGGAGTCTCCGTGGAACCAACACCAGACGTGGTTCACAGCTACCCATCCCCTGCCTAAAGGAGTATCGGGAGTTGTCTCACCAGGTGTGTCGCTATCCTCACAATTATTCTACTTAGTCCTAATCACTTTTGCAGAGGACGTCAAGGCTTGGAAGGTGAAGCAGCGAGCTCATTACAAAGCCCACCCACAGGATGACCCTCAGCACGCATCGTTGTGGAAGGAGATACAGGAAAACTGGGATCGTGCTGTCGCGGGTACAACTGAGGACCTAACATCACGTTCTGCTGCAGGTCTTATGATGGGTGTTTGTGATGCTTTCACAAAATCAGTAAGTGTGGCATTCATCCAACCTCAATCTAAAGACTAACTACTATCAAGGCTGCATACTGGCATCGCACCCATGGCATTCACATTGCCGGTGTTGCAATATTTCCCAGTGATGAAGAGGCAGGCCGTCAGGCGTCAGGGCTGTTCGCCGGCTCTGACATGGTCAAAGCCCTTATCAATTCACACCAACTTGATATTAAGTGTTGGTTAGATGAGCTCACCACAATCCTTAAGTACGTCTTTTGTTGATTATAGGGGTCAGTGCTAAATTTACTTTCAGGTACAAAGACTTAGAAGCTGCGCACGCTGAAGGCAAGACTTTCAGCTTACTCCCTGCCTCTTCCACTGCTCCAAATGGTAGCCTTTTGCGCAACGGCAAGCCTGCCAGGGATAGGAATAGAAAGGTCGTGCCCATGATGATTAGTGAGATGTTTGGTAGGTTTCTTATTGGATCATCCTTCTAATCTACTGACTAAATATTGGGTAGCTGACCATGTTGGACATCCTGTATACCGAGAAGCTTTGCATTCACGACTGGCCCGCTGGTGTTCCCCCGCCCGGCCCAGATTTTGATCTAAAGGCTCTATCCACAAGTCAACTACATGCATTGGTAGCTCCGTATCTCAGGCTCCATCTTGGAGCAATGTACGAGGCTGAGTTAGGTCTTGACAATGACAACGACGATAGCGAGGCGGAGGCAGCAAAGGCGAAGAAGCGCAAAGGCAAGTCCAAGAAGTCGGGTGACAAAGGAAGGAAGAAGGGGGCGGTGGTGGAGGAGCCAAGTGTCATCTTACATATCAGCAGGTGGCCTGAAAGTACGTTTTTGGCTGCTTAAATATACATGAGCTGATATAACGACTACAGGTGATATCCTTACTGTTGAGACACAGGCCACAAGCATGTGCCTCATCCCACTTGTCATCGACACTAACGGCAAGGTTGTTCGCTCCCTCCAAGACTCAGAGAAGTTCATCAAGGATCTTCTGCAAGACGACACCCAAGACGACACTCCTAGACGCCGCACCAAACAGGTAATCAAAAAACCTGCAGTGTCTAATCTAACAGCTTCGCGCTCGACTATGGGAGCTTCGCGCTCCAATCAGGAAGCTTCACACTCAACTATGGGAGCTTCGCGCTCCAATCAGGAAGCTTCGCACTCAACTATGGGAGCTTCGCGCTCCAATCAGGAAGCTTCGCGCTCAACTATGGGAGCTTCACACTCCAATCAGGAAGCTTCGCGCTCTCACCGCCATACTAACCGAGCCATCTATGATAATTTCCCACCTTCATCGCCACCAACACCATCTTCCCAGTTTTCGTCTCCCCCTCCTATTTCACGTGCATCAACTCCTATGTCAACCTGGGGTTATCCACACGTCGGGGATGCGACATATCCCTCTCGCTCTCGATATGAGCATTCACACGATGGACCACGTCGATATCAACGTGCATTTGATGATGCTATGCCGACATATAACCCAGACACTCGCAAACGGACGCGGCCCCATTATGAATCTGCTCGGGAGACTGAAGACCTGGAGCGTGAAACAGTGGAGGAGAGGCACCGTGTCAGGGTCCATGAGAAGTGCGTTGCTATACCCTGACTTTTAGACGTGTTTGCTAATTGTCGCCCTATTGTATTAGTTCTCGTATACCTTTAGGCCGCGCCCAATCGCAGGCACGTGTAAGTTCTGCACCAATTTCCAGCACCTCCCGTTCTCGGCTACTGTCGCATTCCTCCGTTGTGCCAACTTCTTGCACTGGTTCCTCACAGCGCCGCAATCATTCAACTGTCAGACCTTCGCATATTCACCCTGCATCTCCCGATCGCTGTGCAATCATCGAAGAAGATGAAGATGAGTATTACTAACTGCGCAGCCCTTGCTCACACCCACTTTCGGTAATATCTACTAATCGTGTTATATCATGCTGTCCTTTTCTTATGTTTTTCACATGTTTCTTATATGCTTTTCATATGCTTTTCTTGTCACTCATGATTCAGAGTTACTCATGATACATGCCTACACTTATGCTCTATTCATTTCATTTGCTTGGAACTTGAAGTGAGAATTTTGTGTTTGCTCAACTCAAATTAGTGTTCAAGGATTTTAATAGATTTAATTATCTAATCTATTATTATGGTTTTCAAGCATCAGACTCCAAAATTCGGTGCGAGCTTAGCTGCTAAATTTTACCTGAACTGTGGCACATAATCTCCTGAATCTCTTCCAACTTTTCTGACATTACTAGTCATCTAATCCCTGCCATACAGCTTGCCTGACCTTTTGATAGACAATTAAATACATAAGCCTAATTGCACACAGAACTTGGATTTTAGTTGAGGGGACTGTAACAAGCATAAATTCTGAGGGATAGAAAGTAGACACATTCCTAGCAATTTCAACCAAAGGTTTCAAAGTTTTGTCTTGCTTGAGTGCTACTGTAGGCTATGCTGTTTCAACAATGATGAACTTGATGATAATGATGATGATGTGAATGTACTGAAATGTGGTATTGTCCTTTCCCAGTCACTGTGGTCCTTTCCCACTCATGTTGGTCCTTCCCATATGTCCCTATAGCCATTTTCCATCCCCCATGATCCTTCCCACATATGTCTACAGTCCTTTTTTATTCACTGTGGTCCATCCTATATGTCTCTATGGCCATGTCCCATCTCTCGTGGTCCTTCCCACATGTCTCTATGGCCATTTCCCATCCCTCATGGTCCTTCCCACATGTGTCTACAGTCCTTTTTTATTCACCACGGTCCTTCCCATATGTCACTATGGCCATTTCCCATCCACTGTGGTCCGTCCCACATGTTTCTATGGTCCTTTCTTATTCAATGTGGTCCTTCCCATATGTCTATATGGTCCTTTCCCACTCACTATGGTCCTTCCCTACAATCCTTTCTTATTTACCTTGGGTCTTCCCATATCTCTATGTGGTCTTTCCCATCCACTGTGGTCCTTCCCATATCTCCGTATAGTCATTTCCCATTCACCATGGTCCCTTCCACATGTCTCTGTGGTCCTTCCTCCAGTCACTTTTTAATGGTTTCAATTTATAGTCTATGTCCTTGTGTTTGATGCTCAATACCTCACAAGCATGTTGGCTTTCCCCGGTGACTCTCTAAATGGTTTTAATGTATATTCTATGTCCTTGTGTTTGACGCTCAATACCTCACAAGCATGTTGGCTTTCCCCCAGTAACTCTCTAAATGGTTTCAATGTATATTCTATGTCCTTGTGTTTGACGCTCAATACCTGACAGGCATGTTAGCTTTCCCCCAGTGACTCTCTTAATGGTTTCAATGTATATTCTATGTCTTTGTGTTTGATACCTCACAAGCATATTGGCTTGATCTCACTATCTCACCCTCACAGCTCTACATTGTTCTTTCTCAGAGTTGGATGTGAGGTATGGAAGACACTTTATGTAACTTATTTTCTGCTACCTCAGATCTGCTCATTATTTTGCCTCTTTCCCTTCCCCAAATATAAGTCTCATTTCAAAGTTCAACTGTCATACCAGATGCCTCAAGATGGTGCTATTGTTCCTGTCTCATACAAGTCACTTGGTGATACATATCCATATCCCATATTATCTTGCTCGCCCCTAGTCTTCTCTGATGATTTGCCTATCAGATCCGCTCAGAAACCCTGCACACTTATCCTCCTCACACCACTGGGGATCATTGAAGACGAAATATATTGATAGGCCATAGAGAGGTCGGGTCCTGTTGCCATAATATAGAAACCAGGTCTGCATGACCCTTTATTTCCACCAAGAAGTGCTGCCTGAGGTGGGCGAGAGGACCAAAAAAAACCACAATTTTCAAAAAAAATTGCCCAAAAAATTTGGTCATAATAGGACCCCTGACACCCCTGCACCATGGGAATTTCCCAATGTATGTGTGGTCTAAAGTTGGCTGGCGGTCTTTCCCATGCAAAAATTATTTTGACCCCTGGACCATGCTCAATACATTTCATTTTGGACCCTATACACTTGGGGAAAGACCATACAAACATGGCCGGACCACCTGAAAAGTACCCCCTAGGTGAAAACCTCTATAGGTATAATACAACTTAAGAGGTACCTGAAATGGGGTGACCAAAGTGAATTTTGGTGATGTCCACTATTAGTATAAAAGTTGAGAAGTGCCTAGTATGAGTCTCTCATCTGCAATCAAAGCCTAGTAAAGTTAAGAATGACATTTTGCAATGAATGATAAATATCCTGCAACATGAGAGATAATAGTGGCTCTGGCTTAAATAGCAGAATCCACAAGGACAAAGAATATATCATCTTTTCAGTGCTGCCAGTAGCCATTATTGGTACTATACTTGATCTTAGAAATATGTTTAAGTTATTAAGCACAAGGCCTCATTTAGCATATACTGCCAATGGTGTGCTGTTACTACAAGAAATACTATCAAACCAGTATCAAACTTGGTCTATGTTCTGACCTATACGGATGTCGACCATGAAATCCCGATGTCGGCCCGAAAGAGCCAGTCTTGGGTTTAGTCTTTTAGTCTTGGGCCTTAAGGGCTAGACATAAGGTATCGCGTTTATTATTAGATTACCCCAAATTTGTAAACTTCTCAATTGGTGGGTTATCAGACGCTGCACATGGTCGTGTTCCCCTTTGCCAGCCTGCCCATTTGGGAGGTGGAAAGGGATTCAAGCACAGTCCGCGGGTCTGTGCACTCCCACTGACATATGCTTAAGAAGGAGGATTCCTACGTAGAACTAGAAGTACAAGTGGTTGGGGTAGTGGTAGCCCCCTGATGAGACCTTTCGCAAGGTCGAAACCACTGCTACCGATCCACTTTACTTACCTCCCTCTCTGGTCGTTGTCAGAGCCTTACCTTAGGGAACGGCTAACTGTGTCAGCCATGAAGGAGGTGGACAGCCTAGTAGTACAGACGACACTCTCCGCTGCCTCATTTCTCGGCGCTGAGACTACAAATGATGTAGTTAGCTGCCAGGTACTTGCAATAGTACTCAAGTATAACACTATATATAATCTAGTGCATGTCCAGGTCCCATGGACATTAAGCAACTGTTCAAAAAACCAACACACCAGCATGCATATTACATCATACAGAAGTACTGCTATAATTTATATTTATATTTGACTATCTATTCTAATTCACCTCAAGCTTTAGCCTACTGTTTACATTCTATGAAGATAATGTCTAATCCCTACTTTTGATATCTACATGTTGGTATCTCACTTGTCATGTAGGCCAGTTTTGTAATCAGGTGGTTCTCATATAGAGGAGGGAATTACTGAGGATGATTTTCAACTATCTTGTGAAGATTCAAGCAATAGTGACAGCAGTAATGAGAAAGATTAGAGGCCTCAGAATCAAGCCAAATACAGGAAAACAGTTTGACATACATTGACCTGCACCAAATTAGTTTGGTGCATGGATGACTAATACTCTTTCATGAGCCTTATACTCCAGAAATCACTATGAAATCATTTTCTCTTTGATCTGAAGTCAGACTGAGGCTAAGGCAATATTTTTGCCTTTCTTTTCATTTTTCAAGTTTGTACACAAATAGACTAAATATTTTTGTATATTTAATTCTGCAATGAATTTTACTTAGTCAGCCATGAGGATGACTCAGAAAGATTCTCACGCATATCAGATGACTGTGAAAAATATGTTTGCATAAGGTTACCCTGTGGGAAAGCTTATAAATCTTTAAATATACATTCCATGTCATTATGCCACCAATCAATCAATCAGCCACAGATCTGAAACATATATGCATACAATATGTAATCATTTCTCACTTTTGTCTAGCTGAGTCATTAAGGGTCATCTGACTCATGGGCCATATATAGCTCTTGCTGACTCATTACTATACTAATCAAAGTTATGAATATTTCCTTTTAACTCAAAGACACTATGTAACTTGGTACTAGCAAACTAAAGTTACAACTTTAAATGCAAGAAATTAGTAGTACAGCCACTAATTTGTCTATATAAGGAGCTGCTTTCTGCCCAATAAAGAAGGGCCCTTAAATACTAAAGTTTCAATCACATCCTTACTCCAAAAGTTTGGTGTTGTCTCTTTTGTCCACTAAAGACTTAGAATAGTCTTGTAGAGAGACTTTAGGTGTTGATAGTCACACTTGACCTCATACATCTATGTGTTATACTGAGCCAGGGTAGTCATTTGTAAGATAGACTTTAGCTATTGAAAAGGGGACTTGGTATTGAAGTCTAAGGTTGCCTGTTCCTGAGTCTGTTTAATACTTATTGTGAGTTTCTTGGCAGCAGGTTCAATATTAGGCTAAGAGTGCTACGGTAGCTTTGGCTAGGCCTAATAGTAGTTTTACCTGTTTTTGTGTTGAGAGAGATTCTTATTATAACTCCATACAACTTATTGCACTAAGTTTGTGTACAAATCATTGTTGTTATGTAAAGTGTTAGAAGGAGTGTCTGTTTGTCATCTCTATATTGTTAGAGTGACTGTGTCTCCTGATATTTTGTTGTTGTATGTGTTGTTGTTGATCACTTACTGATTAGGTTCTGTTTCTCCTATCACTGTATTTCATAATCATACTGTTGGATTGACTGTTGACTATTGACTCTTACAAGGAGTCATATTCTGCTGACTGTATCTTAGAAGCATAGGCAAGCCACCCATGAATGACCACACTATCAGTCATTGGTATTTGTCTGAATCACTGACCATAGAGATATTTGGTTTTATAGGTGTTTATCTATAGATCATCTATCTAAGAAGACACCACCATGCCATTGTTGAAGTCACATCATGTCATCATCATCATCATCATCATCATCATCAGCCTTGAGCATTTTTTCTTTGTCTTATATTATGTGTATCAGTATATATAGTGGTTCTATTCTCTTCCTTCTACCTCAGTTGTTCTTCCAGACACTAAGGTATGTTTCTTCATATGTTTCATTGTCTTGCTGTTCCTTACTATAGAGTCTAGCATATCCGCTAGGTAACATTAATATTCAGTTGTTCTTCCAGACACTGAGCGTATCTGCTAGCTTTCAACAGGTTATGAGCCCTGGTTTCTGAAATGAAACCATACGAGCTATATATGTGCACACCACTGTTCAAACAACTCAATAGCATATCATTCATCACCATTATCCTTTGACATGGAGAAACTAGATCACATTCCAGAATTGATAGGTCCAGATACATATTTTGCTTGGAAATGTGAAGTGACCTATGCACTGGGCATTGAGGATCAATGATATCACATCACCGATACCATAGATCACGATGATGTCCTAGGGAGTGCATCATTTAAACCTACACCAGTGGACCCTCTTCTTCCTACTGCCACTGAGATGACTGCCATTCGTGAATGGCTCATCAATGATCTCAAGGCAAAGGCTATCATTACTCAATGTCTTTCCTATTGAAGATATGAACTAAATGAGAGTATTAGCTAGGTAGATAGAACATTAATGAAAGTGTCTCACCTCAGTTGACTATACAAGCAACTGAGGTGCATTGAGTAGAAATGATAGTGGATGTTGATATGTTTGGTGCATGCATGATAACTTCCATCTTTTGTTAGTGCGATGGCTGACTGATTATCACTATATAGTGTCATAGGGTGCTGTAACAGCCGGAAGACTTCTCCAATGAAATGACAGAGCCATTGTACCTCTTTTGCTGCGTGACTGGCCGCTACAAACTTAGACTCTGCCGTTGAGAGTGTCACTAACCCCACCGACCTGATTCTGTCGGCACCCACTGAAGACAATGAGGAGCACATCCCAAAGAAGGAGGAGTGGTGCAAGAAATTTAACGATCTTAAAGTGCATGTTTTCTTTCTTCTGTCTGTTCTTGTATACTAACTACTACTTAGGATAAGCTGACCATGCACTTGATGCTCGCACGTGACACAAAGGTAGTTATCGATTTTCCCGTCACCGCAAGGCAAGACGGGCAGAAAGGTAACCTCCTTTGCATGGTGTTTCAATGCCAAGTCAGCACATTCAAGGATGCCACAGCAAAGCAGGTCGAGCTGACCTTGAAGCAGACGGCAACTACAGCAACCACTGCAACCACAACCGCAAACCCAATGGAACGTGAGCCCATCTCAGGTGAGACTGAAGCAAACGATCAGGAGCAGGAGACCAAGGTGGAGGAGGAAACTCAAGAGATAGATGAGAGGCAGGATGCTGAGGCGAGAGAGGCACCACCCATTGAGAAGTCGGGTCCAGTGGGTTGGAAGGTATGTGAAGTGTATTTTGCAAGTGTCTTGTGAGCCATTGATATTCTAACCCTCTGCTTATAGAAATATACCCCGTGCATGAGCACCAAGATGGCACTCAACCTGGTGCCTTGTATGATATGCATGAATATGCCATATGCATGCCACGTCTCCAGTAAGGGCATGTCGTGCTTTGAGTACCACAAGGGGAAGGTCAAGTGCTCCCTTGTGCAAGGTAAGTTTGTACCTCGTATGCCTGAAAAATCAGCACTGAATCTAGACGCAGGCAAAGGGAAGCAGAAGACAATATCACCACCATCACCATCACCACCACCAGCACCGGTTCCCAAGCCTAAACCTAAGCTGAAGCTGGTCGCTCCGACTACCTATACTGTCCGGGCCTCTTCAAAGGCCACCCAAGTGCCAGGCCCAGCTACTGGGACCAAGAGTAAGTCCAGTGACCCACCCACTGTCGCACTACCACCACCACAGTTGGTGCCAGGCCTATTGCATATGCAGAACAATGCCTACACTGAGCTTCAGATGAGCAGCAAGTGGAAGATTGTGGCCATTGAGGAGGAAGCGAGTGAGAGTGAGGATGATGAAGAAGACACATACCTGGCCAGTAGGGTGTCTGGCCTCACTAACATCCTCCAGATGATAGAGATGGCTTGCCCCATTATAAGGAAGGAGGTGGAAGAGATTGATGGGTGGGTTTCAAAGTGCCGACACCGCTAGATTGCATGCTTACTTTTACTGTATAATAATACAAAACATCATGATTGTAGTTGTAGTTGTAGTTTACTTTGTTTTCTTAGTGTAGTTGGTACATATGGAATAGCATGATGGTCATCATGGCTTGGGTTGGTAGGGATTTCTGTGTGAGGCAGGTCTCTTAAAGGATGTTAAACCCATGATCGATGTTGTATGGTCTAGGTCTCTGGATGACTCATTTTCCTTGAGTGTGCAACTTCCATGTGTAACGGGAAGGATGTCTATTGTACTGTTCTGATGGCTCCCATTGGGTACCGGACCTTACATCAGTGAGAAGATGATCACACAGATTCTTGGAGGACAGCTCCAACAGGGGACTGGACTACTCAATGAGATTCAGATATGTGAATGGACTGTCCATCTGCCAGTGGTACAGCTCCCATTAGGGACTGGACCTGTGGTGAGGGTTAGCATGCTGACACTGCTCAAGCAGCCTGGGACCTGGCCCACACTAGTGATGTGTATCAAGATACATGTATGCAGCATGAGTTTGTCACACTGCCAGCGGCTCCCTATGGGAACCACACATATGAGAGGTCTGGCAGTGACATTATTGGATGGCTACCTATGAGCCAGCTCCAAGTGGCAACTCACAACTAATATTGTGCCATTAATAATGTTCATATGGGACGGTCAGGATGGCAAAGTGAATGCTCTTAATGGTGACTGAAGTACTTGATATGTAACTACAAGGGGTGTATCTCAGTGGTGCACAGCTCCCAATGGGGACCAGTAGGGTACAGGGTTTGACATACGATATTGTTTAACAGTAATCACATGAGGATGCAGGAGTGTGCCTGACCAGGGTCCTATATGGGATTGGCGGGGCATAGGGTGGGTTACGTGTATGACATCATTTTTCACAAGTTCCAATAGGGACCAGTGGGTAAGGGTTATCATTTTGCAGGGCAAGGGCTGCTGTGTGGCATCATCTAGAAGGGCTTCCAACGGAGACCGGCATGGCATACATGCTTGTGATCAGCATGAGTTGGTGTACCCTGTGTGTGATTTCTGCTAATAGCATTAAATACCTATTTACACAGCACCCGTTTGGCCCTGCTTATTGCCATAGGTGTTCTTACAGTGCTATGTTGTGTCTGATTACGATGCAGCTCTCAATGGAGACCACCCTAACTGTTGCATGTATGAATGCACAGCATGGCCTCATGTTACATCTGCCCTGCCTCATGCCCAGTCACGTAGGGCTCAGTTATCAAGTGCCATTTGGATGTGATTGCACCAATCACATTGGCCGGTGAGTGTATTGAGTAGTCGCCACTATGGTACTATCAAATCAGGCAGAGTGCATCCGCCATTGAGGTTGTACCCTGTGCCTCGTGCTCCCTCGTGTCTTCTCGCTGCAAGTCTACTGTAAATTGATGTTGAGATGTTGGATTTGCAGAGCTGAATAGCTGTGGAATAGCAGGTATTTGCAAAGTGTATGTATTAGTTGGGAAAATTGATAAGGCAAAGTCAGAAAATGGTCCCCTTACATTTGTGGCCTTCCCAGGATCTCTCAAAATTTGCAGCACATTGATTTTGGGTGGGGTTTACTAGTTGACGCAGGTTTAGGTATGTTTATATAAATTATCTATCTCTGAATAGGGTAGGACTATTTTCTCATTTCCACAATGATTGTGCTCTGTTCCTCAAGGAAATGTTATGCCTTGAGGGCAGAGGGGAGCTCCATGAATTGTCTTGTTCCAGTTGTAGTGATTCTTGCCCTCTGTATTGATTCCAAGACTTCTTTGGAGTTGATCTCCACTGTTTGTCTTGCATCATGGCTGCTCCTTAACAACATCTGCTGCACATGTTGCAGGTCAGTATCATATATTTTTTGCTATATAATAACTAACTCAATTCTGTAGAAATGGATTAGGGATTATTTCAAACACATGATTCTCAAGAACCTCAGCCTCTAAATTCAGCTGATGACTTTATTGTTATCAATTTCTATGAGATCTTACTTGATTTCTGTAACTGTGTGGAGTCAAAATCACACATATAGCAACTACTTCATATGTTCTAGTTTCCCTCAACAACAGCCAACCCCAAAATAGCAGCAACCTTTTGTGTTCTAAATGAATTTTACCTATTGTCTTTTTAAGTCAAAGGTATCTGCTTATAAGTTCTATAGTGCTCTTATGTGGGGTACTGATAACACTGGCTTGATGTCTTTTAAGGTTTGTAATTGATTATTAGGTACTCATATGGACTTATTTGATTCTTCAGGACTAATATGAAGCTTTCATAAGGATGATCCATGAATGGCAGCATCTTATGATACTCATTTTGGATTAGTTGGATATATGCATTATTCATTACCATCAATGTGAACTTCTGTCTCAAATGAAAAGTAGTGTCAAATAATACTATGGACCTGAGATTAAGTCACAAATAGACATACTTCATAGAGAAGGATGTATATAAGCAATTCCTTGAAGATAAAATTGATGTCCCTCAAGAGGTGAGGTTGCCTTTACTCTATAATCATTCCTCATTGATTTCCTCTAGAAATCTATGTGCTCAGCCATAATACTATTAATATGGCTGATACAAAGGCTAATCAAGGGCTAGCAGCTACTGGGCTTGGTACTACTGACTATGTACATCACAACATGAAGTGGTTGAATGTTATTGGAGACCTTCAAAAGGGAAAGAAGTGATTCTACTCAATAATCACCATTTACTTACACTAATAAGTACTTGCTAGTAGATACATCAATATAGACTACTTTTTTTCAACAATTCATAAGCAATAGCTTGAGGTTGTGATTCAGACTAATATACCTATGATATTGGTGTTTACTATCACATAATAAGTATATAGCCACTGCAGCAATAGTAGGGTTGACAAATGAAACAACTCTATTAATGTTCTTGATCTCAAAAAAGATAGCATCAGTGAATTTGCTCAGAACACACTAAGCTTATGCACCTACAAAAAGTTCACCATAAATGAACACATCATTTTCCACCAGATAGTCGACTTGGTGCATGTACACATTGATATTTGAGTCATCCAGCATGATGATGTAGTCAAATAAGAGGTTGTACTCATGAAGTACAAACATCCTCACCATGGCTTACATCTCTTTATGTAGGTTCATGAGCATAGGTAAGACCTTTATATCCACATCAGTTGGGTCATGTGCTAGTTTGTCTAAGGCCCACTACCTAATAGCTCCTGTGGTTCTCAATCAGTCTCTAAGTCACTAGTAGAAGTTTAAATACTTACTATTGTTTTGTCAAGCAGCTACTGTTCTCCATGATGAATCTATTATTTGAATGAGAGTCATATTGGAGAATAGCAATAATTTATTTTAAACAGTTTTATTTGTATCTCATCTTTGGAACCATTCACCAACTCTTGACTAGTGCTGTATCTACAGTGATGCCATATTTAGCATAGCAATGAGATGGATAAGCTGGCTTGCTCAATTTTGACTAGATGAAATGTCCTTTATTTTATCACTTCCTACTTAACTCATCTTTTAGTACAACATCTGAGTTCTTCTCTTTACTCTGACTCTAACTTGAATTTAGATACAGATGGTGAACATGATATGGATATAGATACAGAGTTGAGAGAAGCAACTAATGCTGCTGCTGACTACTATAGTGTATCTTCAACTGACATAAAGGAGGACATGGAAGTTAAGATTAAGCAATAAACAATCTCTAGCTGAGTGAGTTAGTAGCCACATTTAATGTTCAAAATTACTTCATATCATCTGAGTTATAGCTGGCATTAGTAAACTTGTGAACAAATGACAATGATATTTCAAGTAACATAATCACAAGGGAGTCATAAATAGCATTATAGTTCAAAATCTAAATTATAGCAATTGTGCATGTGTCACTTTCAGGATATAATTATGCTACAATCCCTTGTTAACTATGATGGTACAATATTACTACATATTTACAAGTGCCTATACATTTATAATAATGTTATTTTGCACAATAAAATATTATATAGCCTTGTAACTCAAACATAAAACAAGAGAAATGTAAATGCTTAATGATGGTAACTTCATTATACTACAATCACTCACTAGCCATTATGTTGCTATATTGCACCCTTGCTATGAATGCCTAACAGTACTCAAAATTTATAGACATACATGTATATGTATCAACACATTAAATTTGTTGGTGTATGAATGACCATATTTTATAGAAGAAAAATCATATCCTTCTATAGTTATCATAGCTACAATATCTCTAACTCATGAATTCACTGGTGGATGTTTAAGTTTGAGCTCCCCTATTAGCTAGATAGGCCATTCAGTGAAATAGTCTGTATATTACAGCTAGTCTAATGTGATAATTACCCATACGACATGGGTCATTCTAGATGCAGGCCCATAGGCAATTGTAGCTATAACATATGGCTGGTGTACAGCTGCATGGCTTTATCTACAAGTGCTTCACCATAAGTAGCGGAATTGTCAGCAGGTGATTCATAATTCGAATGCTCTGATATGAGGATGAATAGGATACATGCGATCTCATGGTGGGAGAAAATGACTTTTCTATTTTTCCCAACACCATACACTTGGTCTGGGTAAATGCAGTCTTCACATACCACAAAACCTGGGTCACTGGTGGCTTCTTGGTGGTAGGGGTCAATGTAATCTGCAGATCAGGGATGGTGAATATTTCTTCAAACAAGATATGACTGATGTAGCACTCAGCCTCATGCTGAGCATGTATTCAGCTAATTCCCAATGCATGTCAAACACCCATTGCACACGAATCACTTCCTGATGTTATCTGACACTTACCTACTCAATCTGATGTTTATCTGCTAACCTGATGCTAACCTGATGTAGTCCAATGCAAGTCCAACAAACCAAATGTTTCCCACACATTGGACCCAATATTTTCCCACGCACTTGTCCTCCCTATGTTCTGTCCTGTTGTATCTATCCCCACTAGGTGCACAGTTATCTGTTTTCACATCACTAACACTGTAGACCATGTTATTACATGTCTGCAGTACCACATGTCTTATTACATAGGACATCAGACCTGAAAATTACCGCCACTACTTTTGCCTATAGCACTCCAAAATTCTACATAGATACTATATATTTTGCATACCTCTTACCTATCATTATCTACCTTTCTACCTCTAAGTAGGAGGAGGTCATCAGATATTTGTAGTTCTTCACTGAATTCTGCAATATCATCCTTTCTTTATCTGAAACACTCCGAAAACACTGACAGTAACTCGACATTCACTATCTCTGACATTCATTACATTCCCAACACTAATCTGATGTAACCTGACGAAACCTGCTAACCTGAAAGCCCAAAAACATCAGACCCAATGTTTTTACCTTTGGACTCGTAATTATCCCTTTGGACTTCATTTCCCGCACTTCCAAATATCATCCTTTTCATATAACTGATTATTCTACAGAGTGTTTCAGACAAAGAAAGGATGATATTGCAGAATTCAGTGAAGAACTACAAATATCTGATGACCTCCTCCTACTTAGAGGTAGAAAGGTAGATAATGATAGGTAAGAGGTATGCAAAATATATAGTATCTATGTAGAATTTTGGAGTGCTATAGGCAAAAGTAGTGGCGGTAATTTTCAGGTCTGATGTCCTATGTAATAAGACATGTGGTACTGCAGACATGTAATAACATGGTCTACAGTGTTAGTGATGTGAAAACAGATAACTGTGCACCTAGTGGGGATAGATACAACAGGACAGAACATAGGGAGGACAAGTGCGTGGGAAAATATTGGGTCCAATGTGTGGGAAACATTTGGTTTGTTGGACTTGCATTGGACTACATCAGGTTAGCATCAGGTTAGCAGATAAACATCAGATTGAGTAGGTAAGTGTCAGATAACATCAGGAAGTGATTCGTGTGCAATGGGTGTTTGACATGCATTGGGAATTAGCTGAATACATGCTCAGCATGAGGCTGAGTGCTACATCAGTCATATCTTGTTTGAAGAAATATTCACCATCCCTGATCTGCAGATTACATTGACCCCTACCACCAAGAAGCCACCAGTGACCCAGGTTTTGTGGTATGTGAAGACTGCATTTACCCAGACCAAGTGTATGGTGTTGGGAAAAATAGAAAAGTCATTTTCTCCCACCATGAGATCGCATGTATCCTATTCATCCTCATATCAGAGCATTCGAATTATGAATCACCTGCTGACAATTCCGCTACTTATGGTGAAGCACTTGTAGATAAAGTCATGCAGCTATACACCTTCTTTGCACCAGAGTGGGAGCCAGACAAGCTGTTTGGTCCTGTTCACATGATGGATCACACCTGGATCAATGTCTCTAAAATTGAATATTTCATCTGGATAAAGCCAGACGACAAGCCCATTGACATCAAATCTCCTCATATAGCTTATGGAGTGAGCAAAATTAAGTTTAATGCATCTAAGTTGGCATACTGATATTGTCTTTTTCAGACCATCTTTCTGTATCTTAACATGGACCAGATCAATGATGCCTTGAACATTGGGCTGGACAAAATTAGAGCAGAGATGGCCAATACTTTGAACTCAATGAAACCTGGTGTCAACCACCATCATGTACTTACACCAAGCAGCATTGCATTTGACTGGGCCAGAACGGATCAGCAACACCGCTGAGGCAGTCAGGCTCACATGCGGCGAAGAAGGCTTTGACATTTAGAGGGTCAACTATAGATTTGATGCTCTTGAGTTTCGTAAGGGTGGTTTTGGCTGTGTGCGGGGGGTGTTGGAAGGTGTCACCGAATTGCTTATACAAAGCTGTGGTGAGTGGTGAGGTCTTTCCTCAAACACAGGTGAGCATGGTGTCATATCCCATATATTCACGCTTCTCTTCCGGACTTCAGACCCTTAGATCCGGTCCGGTCCGATGCATAGATCCGCGTCCGATCCGATATCCGATAAGCTTCTTAATTCATTTCCTGTTCATATAACGTTAAACACAGCCTATTCGGTATTTCCTCTTCCCGGTGTCTCGGTTATACTCATTACCGGTATGATTACTGATCCGTTATCCTATGCTTCATTTCCGACTCGCGTTTGATAAGCTTTGCATATGCTTCGTACATAGCCTCGGACCTTTGCTTATTGATCCTTCCGTTATCCTCTTAGTATATAAACCCGTGTATATTTCCTGTAGTACCTCAGTTCGAATATCATCTTAGTTTGTCCTCTTTCTGTCCTCCGGACTTGAGTCTAATCAACTCTTGTCGATCTCTGAGACTTCGGATCGATTCCGATAGTCTATGTCTCCGCCTCTATCTTCGGATAGTCTATACTCTGTTTGTTTCTAGTCCGGATCGGATTAGTCTTATACGCGTTTCCGATATCCGGAAGTCATCCGGATATAACTACGAGACCCGTCCGGACCTTCGGACGCGTTATCGTTAGTCTCTGAAATAAGGGACAGTACTTGGGAAAGGGGCACAGCATACGAGCTGAGGCCAAAGTCCTTCGGATCCGATCCTACGAGAGTATGACCTTAACAATATGTGATTACATGTAATAAGCCTTGCTAGCCCATTAGTCAAACCAAAGAAAAAATGAATATGCACCAACAAAGATAGGTGGACATGGAAAGGACATGGATGGACGGAGCGGAAATCCGAAGCGTGCAGAGCGGATATGAGTGTGGGTACGTGCCAGGTGACATTTGCCTAGACATACTTGTCATCTAAATGCAGAAGGATAGATGGAACTGATATCCTTCGATAACCCTTGATACCTATATAAAAAGACACTCTTTGCAGCCCAGGGAGGTTCCGAGTGTCACACCAAACATCACAGCGACAAGGATATGTCCGACGACAATTTCCCTCCAAGCAACGACGAAATGCATACATCTCTGCCTGTTGAATTCTCACTTGACAGACACGCAGATGAGAATCAGGATATCGACCACACCCAGTGCCGTCAAGGTCAGGCAGAACAACGGGTCGGCCACCCTGGGCATGCATCTCGAAAGGACTACAGGCAGAACAGGTGTGAAGGATCCTGGTAAATGGAGCCAACCACAAGCTTGCTCCAATGCAATCGCAGAAGTGGTAAGTAATTACTATATTTTATACTCAGCTCAGATTAATCATATCCATCAGCCTAACGTGGATTATGATGTTGTCAAATGGCATCAGAAGACTAACTGTTGTGCTCATTCTCCATCACTGACGTACTTGCATTCAGTGTGCTATTTTGGCTTCACTGTCAACCAGCCAAAAACTAAGTGCATTCACACCAGCAATCTCCAGTTAAACAATGATTGTCAAGCGGCTGGGGACTCTGGTGACATGAAAGTTGATACTGATTCAGAGGTCCAACAAACCAGTGTTGGGTACTGCACGAAGGCAGCAAAGAGCATACAGGACAGTGCCATTGTTGCTAAATGGAAGACACTTGGTTTCTTCCCAGATCTTTGGGTCAAACTGCTGAATTATACAAAGGCCTGCTTTAGGTTGCATCTTGCCATTGCAGACCCATTCCCCACACGTGAGGAAGCCCTTAGTGACACTGGTATATGCCTGGAACTAATCACAGAATCAATTGTGGCTTGGGAGCCGCAAAACCGTTGTCTTGAAGCAGGTATTTTTTCCTGGCTGGTCTAATAGTAGCATGCCACTAACAATTTTGTCCATATTTCTATCCCCAGTATGAGTATGACATGGCCACTGTCGTAAGTGTTGTTTTCATTTGAGATTCCCCCATCAATACTCAAGTCCATGCATTGACAGATTTAAAATGATTCCATCAACTTTCACAGTAGGATCAAGCAAATCACGATTAACGTTGTTCCTGTGAAGTACAAGCTGAGTGGCAGCAAGAGTGAGATCAAACAGAAGGCGAACACGTTGTTGAAGAGCTCGAAATTTTTGCATGGAGAATGTGATGAGCATGTGTGCACCATCATGACCTCATAACCTGATACTAATCTTCTAGCAGGATCATACTTCTAACTTTGTGCACAGTGGCCTCTGCTCTGTCTGCCTTCAAGCATTCTATGACGGTGGTTTGAAATTGTTACAACAATTTCCTGAATTTTGTCACACCATCCCTTGCAAAGCCCTTCTCCTTGTCGTGACCATCATAAGCCTATTGAATCAGTATGTATATCGTTGTTTTTTTCATTGACTCGTCATATTTCAGGTTCACAATGTTATTCACATCTACTTGATGTATGGCTACATGAACACCAAGCAAACAGCCTTGGGAGATTCTGAAAAGGTGTACTGGAAACTAACGAGTATGCTCAAGCAGGTCACAGATGACGAATATCATTGCAAGAAGCTCGATGATGAGCTCTGATCTTGGGCTGTGGCTGGCATGTATGTTTTCCTTTATATTTTATACTGGTATTACTGATCATCAAGACAGGACCAGGGTTGTTGTCGATGGCGAACCTGAACTCATCTGCACATTTCCATGCTTGCCTGTGCCTCCACTCCTCTCATTCTGGCGCCTTCTGGTGTCATTCGCATATGTTCAAGCCACATCAACATTCACTGATGTGCGCTGGGCATATGCATTAGGCACTGGCGGCTGTTGGGATTGAGTGGGCCTCTCATTCTCCCTCGTACCCGCATACCTGTGGACCCATACCCACACCCATGGACCCATACCCAAACAACCTGTGGACCCGTACCCATATCTGTATGTAGGGCTGGCCACTGTAACCATGTTTATGAATATGAATTAATCAATTACCGTGATAGCATTATGAGCAAGGCACAGACACTGCTTAACCAACATCAATGTCCTGATAGTGTTAGGTTGGAGACTAGCATGCCAAAGAGAGATAGTATCATGGCCACCGGAAAAATTCATTCAACAGCAACGGCAGAGCCTGCACAATGTCCAGAGGATTAGTGTATCTATATACAATGGTTTTGAGCAGATTGAACTCACCAGGAATAGCAAGAATATCCTGAGCCAGGCGCAAGAGGTTTGGAAATTGAGAGTGGCAGCCTGCCCACCATTGGATGGGGTCACAGGCATCAAAGTCCTCCATGGGCAGCCTATAATACTCCTTGAGCTCATCTCTTGAGGTCATTGGGCACTTCTTGTACCGAGCTGTAAAGTTCACTTTCTGTGGCGATCCAGATGAGGTTTCTGCTGCTGCAGGTTGAGGAGCAATGGCAGGGGAACTTGAAGCTTGCAATAAAAGGTAATTGTCTTGATAATACCAGTGCAACTTGTCCTTTGCATTGTCCAAGTGGCCACGTAGTGTTTGGTCGTCACTGCAGTCGGTTGAAAGACCTTCGTATGAGATTCGGAGGTCAAGAACTGTCAATAAATTAGTAGACTACAGGTACCAGTAGATACAAAAAGAATTCTTACAAGAGGACCATATGTAAAATGGTGATCCATTGAACTTGATATAATAATTACTCAGTTTCCGATGTACTTTGATGAGTGAGTCTTTGAGACAAGGTGGTGTGTTGTTGGGCAACATGTGCAGAGACTCTTGTAGAGACTCCTGCAATCCATGGAAAATGGCCTGAGTGGACGATAGCATCGAACACTTTGTCATTGACATTTGCGTTATTGCTAAATGGAAAGCCTTCAGCCAATCAGAGACTAGTTGGACTGCACTCCAGTCCTTGGGGGTCAACTCGTACTGGCAAAGGTCTCATGTCTTTGCAACAAAGTCATCAATGACTTTGTGGTAATCAAGTGCATGACCTTTTTGGAGAGGGATCTGAGTTAAGAAAGTTAAATATAAAACTAAACATACATATGAAGCATTTGATGAGTCAAAGACCACCTCGTCTTGACATCGAGGATCAGCATTAAAGCTGTCTGTGGTAATGTGTCATCCTGCGACTGCATTGACATTTTGACCTCTTGGAGCCATGCTCGGCGACATTGAGGACTGGAATAAACAGCACAGACTATTTTCTGCAACTGAAAAGGAAGTAACTGGGAGTTTAATTGACTCTGGTGATTAACTTGAACTGACCTTTAAAACTGTGGAGGGGACTTCATAAAGATTGTGATCATTGCTCAATACTTCTTCTGGTTGATCTTCCTGTCCAGCAACATCGTTGTCATGCTCTCAACTAAGTGGAGCAGTTATGCAGTCCTGGCATGCATCATGATTCTTCATTGAACTGCTAGTCTTGATGGTGCCAATGCCTTACAATAACTTGAAATAAACAATGTTAGATGTATGGACACAAATACTAACATGAACACTGTACCATCAAAGCTGAAAGATGGGTTGTATGAGGCATGCACCACAGTTGAGCCCAGCATGCATTAAATGTAACACCTTCCTTCTCACATAATTCTTGCAGTGCCTCACACATGGTGTCATTATTTGAAGCATTGTCAGCCATTATTGCAAGCACCCGACCCTTAAGCCCGAAGAGTTCCAGAGTTTCAAACACTGCCTGGGCCATGTTGTCACCTGAATGCTCACCAATGAGCTCACGAAAGTCGATTAGAAGTTCTTCTGTGTGATGATCAGTTATACCCTACAACGACAGTGCAGATGAGGGACTCGCTGAGTTGCCAGCCATTTGCATCACAATGGCCAAGAATCCGTACATATTGCTGGACGTCCAGCCATCCAGTGAAATACTAACCTTGCAGTCCAATTCAGTGACCATCTTTTTCACATCCTTGACAGTGTCTTCGCCCATCTTCATTACACACCGCTTCATAGATTGACGATGAGGAATGTGAAGTGATTAACATAAGTGAGTGTATTCAAGGAGGCAGCAGAACTCAATCCTGTCGACCTCCTCAAATGGCTGATCACATGTGACCATCCATTCAGCAAGAAGCCGCTCAAATGTACCCTGATCCCAGTTAGCTTCCTGAATATAGGGCATTAGCATTAGATTGAGTGAATGAGTTGAAAATATACTTACAATGGCTCGTTGATTCTGGTGAATGAAAGCATTAACAATATTGCTCGAGGTCTTTTCAAGCTTAAGGAGATATTCAACTGCCTGTGTGGGGTCAAGAGTTTTTGTTCCGGATGCAATTGTGACCTTGTCTTCAGTAGGTGACTCAACACAATCCTTGAGACATAAATATAGATGATACATAGCCGGAAAGTGTGTTTTGATATGACCAATAAGACCTGCCATTTACAAGTCAAGTCAGAAATCGTCAGGAAGCTAAAACAAGATACTTATCATTCAGGCTACTTCGCATTGCCTTTGTGATGGTCAAAGTTTTTCGCTGGCCATGGTAACACTTGTAGTGCTTGTCACCCACATTGCTCTTGCCACCATGAGCATTCTTCAGCACTTCTTCATAAAACAGGTAAATTGGATTGGTCGGTCTACATGGCTGAAAAGACTAGATTTAGTGTTGTCACTAGCCACTGTAATATCTAGAGTGTTAACCTTTGAGTGCTTCATCACAACAGGACTTCAGCCTAATGATGGCTGCACACCATCATTATCATCATCTTCAATTTCCTCAACCCGAGCTTGCTTAGACAGTTGAGACCCATTGGCAGCTGAAGAATTCCAAACAGTAGTCTTGCGCTTAGATTTCGAGCTGGTTTTCTTGTGGAGATGACATGCATCAGGATCAGTGTTGCCACCACAAGGTGGGACAGTCTTCATAGGTAATATCATTACAAGCTGCAGAGCATTAGTAACTATTACAAGTAATTAAGACAAACTCACCTCCACATTGGAGATCTCATGGTCCTGGATGTTGCTGTCTGAGTTTGAGGCTGACGAAGATGACTCAGAGCCAGACTCAGAGCCCTGAGTGAAATCAGCGTCATCAGCATCCGAGGCCTCCTCAACTGGAGGACATGAAAAAGAATTGACATTGTCGATAGGAATAGTTTTCTTTTTGGGGACACGGCGGGGACGGCGGGGATGGTGTGAGGGCTGATTGTTGTCTTCACCTTCAGCTTGGATAAGAGCATTCATGCACTCGACATTTTTTGGTCGTCTTCCATGCCCAAGAACTTCTTGAAAGTCTTGATCCACAGTAGGATTAGAACAGCTTGAGGAGGCCATTGAGTGAAGGTATGTCGTCCAAAAGTAGGGAAACACAAGTAGCAGGTGGGGGAAGAGAGCAGTGCCAGGGCCTAGCACTAGAGTCTTGCATGAATACAATGGCCCAGGGTGAGCACCCCCCGGATCTAGTACGAGAATCAGGAGGGTGTTCTGGACAACATAATGAACATTAGAACTTGATAGATCATAGATTGTGAGAGAAAACATACCAGCAAGTTGATGATTTGCATCCTATTGAAGTATTGGCTACCAGTGAAGAAGCTAAATGACAGAATGGTCAGCATCTTGAACATCGAAAGAAGGCATGCGGCTGCCATGGTACCAAAAGCTACCAAGTTGGGCGTTTATTTATCATTTATTTATCATTTTAGGCTATGGTACACAGCTTAATACACTCATTACTACTTGCCAGGCCTTAAAAAGATTTGAGGCTTGGTTGCCAATGCTTGCGACTCTTGATTCTTTCTTTCCTGCTCTCAGACTCTGCTTAGTCAGTGCTTACAGGGTTTATTTTTGCTTTTAAAGTCCACAATATTGTCATTAAGCATTCAAGGCCCAGCTTGAAAGCTCAGGCTGTGGCTCTTTTCATGTCTCACACTTGATGTCATGTATTGACAGTATTGTGCACTCAATGTTGTGTATCATGTAGTTTATTAAAGTGGCATTTGGAGTGTCATAATTCTTAGCATTGGAGTCTGACATGGAATGAACATTGAATACTAGTATTCCCTTTTTCTCCCTGTAATACTCAAAGTTGATTCCAATGGAGAGCTACCAGTCTTTTGCATTGTTTGTACATTAGGCTACTGCATTCAGTGTGGTTTGTTCTTAGCAGGCCAGGTTAATGAGCTCTTATATGCACTCAATGGTAATGGCAGACTTGGAAGATAGTTGTACACCATCATGTTCAAATTAGGCTTGGGGAGCTGCCCTGAGCATACAGCTAACAGCAATCAATGCCCAACTGTGCTTGATGACAACCTAGTTTATGCTTTGGATCCATAAACATCAAAGTTGAGGGGGACTATATCAAAAACAATTATCTCTCAATGTAGTCAGACTGTTCACAGCCTAGTCTCATGAGTCAGAAACAGAAACTTGAAGGGATCATACTTCTCTTTTGTGAGTCTGACACACATGAATGCTGGGACTGTAGCATAGCACCATCAACTTATTTCAATTGTGCATGATCACAGGTGAGAAAATGATAGCAAAAACCAGATTTAGCTTAGTCAGCAACGCCTCCGAAATCGATTATGTAATCATGCCTGGTGTGCGATAACAACGCAGTTCCAACCGTCAAGGTATAACACACCAAAGTATGTATATCGTACATTCTCCTTTCGTATTACCATTGCAAACATGACAAGGCGTAACAGCGAGCCGTGCGTATCGTATGAAGAAAAATTGGGAGAAAAGCGTCAACATGCTTTTTATGGCACAGCCGGTATTGCGAGCAAGAGAATATATGCAGAGTCAATAGGTGCGGGTCGAATGTAATAAAAGTCTAAAAGTTCTATCCTGAATGGACGTGCATCTAGAGCCGGAAAGGGTATCACCCAAGGAGACCCTCGCCGTCAGAGAAGGCTGCCGAGCTGTATCCGCTGCCACCGATCTCGTTGTATCGTGCAATGCGAAGACGCTGGCTTGGAGGGATAATCTTATCTTCAAGACCATGTGGAGCTCCACCGTGAAGAACGCCAACGCGCTTCATTGCAAGGAGCTGCACAAGGTATTAGTCAAGATATGATCGCGCGACAGCTAAAATATGCCTCACGTTGTGTGCGGCGTTACTGTGGTCATAAACGCCTCCAAAGAATGCTGTGGTAGCGTCTCGGCCGATGTGCTTCGTCAACAAGTGACGGCCTCCTGGGTGATCGTCAAGGAAGTCTGAAACATCATGAATGAAGCCAGCAACGCAGATGACCGGACGACTCTTGGCTTGTTCAAGGTCTACGCGGAATGTATTAGAAGATACACCTGGCATACGCGGAAAGGTACGTACAGCTCTCCCAGGAAATGACGGGCAAGTCACTGTTATCAGTAGGCCATGACAGGGTTTCCTGGGTCTCGCGAAGACGCTTCAGTTGCATGGTAAGCTGACCCTTGCGGACCTCGTTGTCAGGAAAGGACTAGTAGATCTGGATGAATCAAGTATCCTAGCGTATCTGCAACAGACGCACCTTCAAATGGCTTGCGAGGCCAAGCTTCTGGCACGACCAAATGAACCACTTTGTAGGGTCATATTGGTACCACTTGATGGCGTTACGGTAGTCCATGGGGAACTGGTGGTGGAAGTTGTGGTATCCTTCACCGATTGTGACGAGGGCAGTTACGAGGTGATCGCGAGGGCTGTGTTTGTCGTCGAATGGTGTTTCACCCAACCAATGAGCGAGCGAATTCACGCAAAACGTGGACTATATGCGCGAGGTCAACGGTGTACCGGAATAAAAGGCAACAACAAACACACATGGTGAACGAAGCAAAGACGCAGAAGACCGGCGTAGATGTAGCCACCCTGCCAGTCGTCCCAGCAAAGTCCAGCCACAACAGTGGGGAAGAGGAAGCCCATGATCACGACCAGGCTCAGGTAGTATTTGTGCTGCCATCTCACAATCTCGTTCTTCGTCAAGTCGCTAACATCAGCAACGCCAGGTTTGCGACGGGGCTTGACAACCATCCATCCAATGTGTGACCAAAGAAGACCACGGTGTGCGTTGTATGGGTCAAGGTCGGTGTCGGTGTAACGATGGTGAGCGCGGTGTCCTCGTGACCACCATTTGATAGAGCCTTCAACCGCGCCTGCGCCGACGAATGCAAGAACATACTGAAGAGGCTTTGACGCGTTGTAAGAACGGTGTGCCCATAGCCGGTGGTAACCAGCAGTGATGCCTGGAAGCACGATGAGACAACAGGCTTTCAAAGGTAAATGGCAAAGCTTACCGAGGCCGGTCATGTAGTAGTATACGACTGACCAAACGGCGGTCTTCCATTGAAGGGGAGTGTAGTACGCGCCGACGAGACCGATGACAGGCGTGCCGGCGAGAATTGCAACGTGTAACCAGTTTAACTCTGTGTAAAAGTTGTCCCAACTGAGTGGGGGAAGAGACTTTTGATGTTTGAGAGTGTAGGACACGTAGTTATCTGGAATATTAACGTCCGCAGGGACGTGCTCGGGATCGTCAATAAACTTCTTTGAGGGTTGTGAGGTAGTGTCTGCATTAAGCTTCGGAGTAATAGGGGGAGTGAGAGTCTCCATCGACGAAGGCGTCGAGCGAACTGGAGGGACGGTCGACATGAAAGAAGGTGGTCAAGAAGAAAAAGTCCAAGTGACGAAAGAGCATTTATTTGGCACCAAATTCTTTGGGGTTGGAGATAAATTAATTTCGTAACGCAAGCGCAGCGCTAAAATATAAATTGCCGACACGAATGAACCTGAAATGTATATCATTTTGCCCCAATTTCTTGTGTAGTGTCATGCAAGAAAACAGCAGAAGACGGAAAGCCGAGTCGTCAGAGTGACGAGTACTTTTTAAAATCCCATCACTCCAAGCGCCAACTCGTTGGGGAGGGTGAGCCTAAACTAAGTTTCTCACCCCAATTATGGACCAAAAATGGAGTTTTCGTGTAAAAGTGAAGGACCACAGCGTTGAAAAAGGCTTGGCTTTTCTCATGACGGAGTGGACGGGAGCCTGGAGGACATTTAAACCATCGCGTTTAAGCTTCTAGCTTTGCTTCCGTGCGCACTGCCTCTTTTTTTATTTTGGACTTGTGCACCATGTGTATTTATTCTCGGGCCTGCTCTCACCAAACGATTGTGTAGCTCATAATGATCAAGCGTGGTGTATAATACCGGTGTGCACTTGGTGCGTCGCAGTGTGGTGCTAGCCCGCAGTAAGTCGGAATACCAGTAATCGTCGGGGTTTCGCCTGTGAGATAGTGGAGTAAGCCTTGATTCCGAGGTAAGCGAGTGAAAGACCGTCAGATTTTTAGGTCCACATGCCTATGAACGAGTACATTCGCGAGGACTAACGGTATTAGAGCATCACGAGTACTGTTTTAAAAGCACACCGGCGAGCAAGCGACATGCCTAGCTATGGCTTGCTGCACACGGATTCCATAAACTTTAATTAGAACTCATGTCAGACATTATCGCATGCGGGTATTTGACTTTCCTAATCATCATATGTCCTTGCACATGACATGACGAGATAAGCATGTGACTCGCTAACTGGCCAACGATCGCATCGACAGGAATGGAAACACAATTAAGCTGAAAGCAGGCCAGGGAGGGGCTCAAATGTTTTGCCTTGTATTGACGAACATTCGATGGCTACCCAGCAAGTCTCCTGCGCTATCGTCCCCGATCGAGTCGAAATCGAGGGCGGGTCACCGGCTGCCGCAACGTCATTGGTGTGACCACGACCAGTGGCGAACGTTCCAATGTCAAGGGCCTATGTAAGACAGGGGTGGGAGGACTTCTGCACCGGTCTGCTGACAAACATAATCATGATCGTGTTGCTGCCAAGTTGTGAAAAAGAAGTAGGTCGATTGTACGCTGTTGCCCTCCGAGGGCCAAACATAAGTTCTACTAGAGCGGCGGACGAACCGTTTTTGAAAGAACTTGAACGGAGGACTGTAGCCGTTGAAGTGCAGCGATGTTCCCGGCGAGCACGGCAGCTGACATTGTTCGCACTAGGCATCGAGGTCAAGCGTTGGAGTAACGGGTGTCGAAGTCCAATCGGAACCGACACTTGGATACAAGTTTTGATGTTGTACCCATGCTATCGGCGGAGAGCGATAATTCGGCAGATACCTTGACATAATCGCGGAATTCAAGACAAGAATTATTTTATGCCGCTGCTCCTTAAACGACCTGAATAATTTTGCCTCATCACACGGCCGTCAATGGGTGAGTAATACCTCGTAAGGCGCTGAAGATGAAAACGGAAATACATGTGGACCGAGGCACTGAGCTAGGAAGTAAGAAGTACTCTCTTTGATGGCAGTCATACTCTGACAGGAACAGCTTGCGATCAAGTCACAAGACGAGTCCGGATCCAACTATACCTTTTAGTCTCTTACCGTCACCCCACCTCACATCTCAACCGCCACTTTCCATTATCATGCCTTCCTCAAAACGACACAGAGTATCAGAAGACGATCCTCTCACTCTAGCAATCGCACCTCCCCCTACAGAATCTCCTGCAGAACGCGAGGAACGACTTGCTGCGGAACAAGAAGCAAAGCGTGTCTCTGACGCAATCGACGACGAACTCAACAAACAACGTATCTCAGAGAAGAAAGGTCCAAAGGCAATCAAAATACTCCTCCTAGGTGCGCTCATACTACCCTTCAACAACTTTGTCCCATTAACAATCCCCCACCAGGTCAGAGCGAATCAGGCCAGTCACATACAGCTTTCTCTACCCCTCCAGTCAGCTCACCCCATAGCTTCCAGGCAAATCGACAACTCTGAAAAGTAAGCCCCATTTCTATTTATGGTCAGACTACAATTTAACTTCATTTGGATACATTACAGACTTCCAACTCATGAACTCTCCAAAGGTTACGACGCATTAATCTCCGACGATCTCTTCACTCATCCTCATATCCCATCTAGGCATTTCGCTCAGAACGTGCATCATGGAGAGCAGTCATCCAACTCAATGTCGTTCAATCTATCCACGCAATCTTGGACCTAATGTCCAAAGCACATTCCTCAGCCCACCCTTCCACCTCCTTGACTAACTTGACAAATCTACCCAATCCACCCCTCAAGGAATACCCTCCACTCAACCCAGAACATTTGAAGCTCAAGATGCGCTTAGCTCCCTTACTACAAGTCGAGGTCGCCCTCATAAAGAAGCTTCTCCCCAATGGCCATGCCCAGCTCTCCAAATTAGCTAATCCCGCGCAATCCCTTCCTATTCAGCAAGAGATCAGCGTCAACTCTTCCGCAGGCTGGAAGAACACCTTCAGTCGCCTCATGGGCCGAAACAGCTGCGACAGTGCAGATCTAATCGACTGGTCAGACCCAGACGACCCTGGCGTCGTTTTAAACGCTTGCGCAGAAGACATGAAACGCCTCTGGACAGATCCTATCATCCGAAAATTGATGGACATCGAGAAAATGAGACCGGAAGAGATGGCTGGCTTGTACGTTTTCCAATAATGGTATCCTATCTCGCTCTCATCTCTTGACAGCTTCCTTGATGCACTGGATCGCGTGACTTCCCCCCGATACGTGCCCACTGACGGTAAGATTCTCGATAGCTTGTAATTCACGCTCATTTGAAATGCAGACGATGTTCTCCGCGCGCGGCTAAAGACTCTCGGAGTGTCGGAACATCGATTCACTATGAAAACAGGTTTGCGCCGCAACATCATTTCTACCGCATCTTGATTGATTATTAACTAGGTTCCATGGGATCACCAATGAGCCATGATTGGCGCGTGTTCGATGTTGGCGGCCAGAGATCACTGGTGAGTACTAGTGTGTAAACGAGGTCTTGACTCACCTGCCTTTTTGGTAGAGAGCCGCGTGGGTTCCATACTTTGATGATATGAATGCCATCATTTTCCTGGCACCCATAAGCTGCTTTGACCAGGTTCTCCAAGAAGACCCTTCCGTAAATAGATTGGTACGCCTTATCTCCTCCCCCTGACTTTGACTCATTCTTTGTGGCAGGCCGATTCTTTCCTTCTTTGGAAAGCTATCGTGTCCAATCCCCTGCTGAAGAAGACGGAGCTCATCCTCTTTCTAAATAAATGCGATATCCTGCGCGCCAAGCTCGCATCAGGCATCCGCTTGGCTGATTACATCGTCAGCTACGGGAGTCGGCCGAATGACTTTGAAAGTGCTAGTCAATGCAAGTCATGCCCTCTGCTGTCAACTCTCTCTCTGACGTGTCGTCTTATCAGACCTGAAGAAGAAATTCGCTGGCTTGCTAAAAGAGCATTCTCCCGAGCGACTATACTATTTCCATCTTACATCAGTGACTGTAAGATCATCTCTCGTGATCATCTATCACTCTTGGTAACCGAGCTTAATTTACAGGACACGAAATCGACGACATACATCCTCGAGAACGGTATGTACTTGTCTTTGCTTCGATCTTCCATACTGACTTGATCCCAGTGCAAGATGTTCTCGTTCGCGATAACCTGAGGAGAAGCGCGCTTGTAACCTGATATCGTGCATCCAAGACCTGAGATACCTGCATGGAACCCCCGCGACCTCCCGCACCCCGACTTACCTATGCCTGTGACTATGTTGTATCATCAGCCGTTGTCATCGGTTTTATTGTTGCGAATGCACTATATACCTCAGGGACACTTTAGATGTGCCCCTTCTACCCGCTCCTCTGCGCAGCCTGTAGCTCTCTTTCTTCTGGGGTCATGGTGCAGGGTATATTAGTGCAGGACGCTGTACACCCACTCAGTCGCTTGTTATACATACATAAAGCTGTTCGTAAGCATTTATCGTCCCGTAGCATCTGCTACGGGCGCTTGGTGCGAAATGGACTGATAGTTACTACGAATAATCAATATAATTGGTGGGATTTACTCATGGCTGCAGTACGAAAGATTCCTGGACACTATCAAACAAGTTTTTTTTCCGGCGCCCATCAAACTTCCTGGGATCACAACCATATGATGATGATCATGGCGTGGATTCTCTGATGACTTAAGTGCACGAACTCCTTGATTATCGGCTCCAGCTACATGCATGCAAGGTCAAGATTGTTTATCCGGAGCGGCCGAAATCATGTCGAGGGTACTCGGAGAGTCACACGCATTGGCAGCATGTTAGTCGTGTTACACGGTTGTTTGCTGCCAAACAAAGCTGTGTCACAATCCGTGTCGAAATGCAATCCCACAAGTTCACCTTCTCGTACGTACTTGAACAAAGGAAGACGGTGCTAGCTGTCGTCATATCACCTTCAACATGAAGAAGGTCCTCAGTCTCCTCCCGCTCGCCCTCATCGCACCAGCGATCCTCGCAGCCCCAGCCGAGAACACCCAAGTCGTTCTTGGAGGGACTACTACTAGCCCTGTTCAGAACGGCCTCTTCCACCTACCAGACACCGAAAGAGTGCATGAATGGTATGAAGACGGAAAGCAATTCATCAAACAACACGGGTTAACCTGTAAGTCGATCCGGTTCCCGCTAAAACCAAAACTGAAACTGAAACAACCCATCGCAGACGAGCTGGTTCAACACCCTCATTTTGGCGACTATAAGCTCAGGGTCACGGAGCCTAAGCTATGTGACCCTTCGGTGAAGCAGTACTCCGGTTACCTCGATATCACCGACGACAAACATTTGTTCTTTTGGTTAGTTTTCAATTGATGCCATCTTTTTCTTTTTGTTGTTCGGTCATAATCTTATTCTTTTTTTTCAAGGTTCTTTGAGTCACGCACCTCTCCGGAAGATGCGCCCCTTGTGATGTGGCTTAATGGCGGCCCAGGATGTAGCTCGTCCACTGGTCTCTTGTTCGAGCTCGGTCCGTGTAACATCGCAGACGAAGGCGCCAACACGACGTTTAACCCCCACAGCTGGAATACCCACGCTAACGTGATCTTCCTCGACCAGCCTATCAACGTCGGGTATTCGTACTCTGAAGACGGGAGCACCGTCGACTCGAGCCCGGTGGCTGGAAAGGACGTTTATGCATTCATGGAACTCTTCCTCGGCCGCTTCCCCGAATACTCTACTCAGCCTTTCCATCTCGCTGCAGAGAGCTATGGAGGCACCTATGTTCCGCACATCGCGAACGTCATCTACACCGAGAACCAACTCCTTCCTCTTTCGCCCAATGCTGGACTTGTCAAGATCAACCTCGCGTCTGTCATGATGGGCAACGGGATGACAGACAACTACGTCCAAATGGCGTCGATACCCGATTATCTCTGCGAAGGACCGTACCCGATCTATGATGACCCCAATGGTGCGCAATGCGCTGCTTTGAGGAGCAAAGTCCCGACTTGCCAGAGGCTGATCAAGTCTTGTCGTGATTTCAACTCCCGTTTGACTTGTGTACCTGCTGCGCTGTATTGCAACTCTCAGCTCTACGCTCCCATCCAACGTATGTGCTGCTGCTGTTACGAGATCTGAATCATACCTGAACCTCGCCCTTTAGAATCCGGTCTCAACCCTTACGATGCGCGTATCAAATGCGATCGTGAGAAAGACGGGCCTCTGTGCTACCGCCAGATGGGCTGGATCGAGACTTTCATGAACGATCCCGAGGTGAAAGCTGCACTTGGTGTGAACCCGCAACGCAAGTTCGAGTCCTGCAACATGGCCGTCAACCAGGCGTTCATGCTCCAGGGCGATTCGATGCGGAACACGCCCCTGTTGTTGACGGATATGATCAATGATGGCGTCAGGCTCTTGATCTATGCTGGTAATGCGGGTGAGTAGACCTTCTATCTACCGTGGCTGCGGATTTCTGATGCCGTTCTCAGATATGATGTGCAATTACATGGTGCATATGTCATCATTCAGGTTTGTGTGGCGTAAGCTCACGTATGATTTCAGGGTAACGAACGGTGGGTCGAACAACTCGATACTGTCTTTTTGGAGGAGTTCTCTACGGCTCCGACTGAGCAGTGGGTAACGCTGCGTTCTGGAAAGGTCGCTGGTACTGTCCGGTCTGCCGGTGGCGCTGGTTCTGGCGCTGGAAACGTCACTTTTGTGACTGTTTACGAATCTGGGTTAGAAACCTGTATCTTATTTTTGTGTTCTCGATAATTAACCGCTTATCTTTTCAGGCACATGGTTCCTTACGACCAACCTGAGGCTGCCTTGGTGAGTGATATATTTCGAGTGTCGAGGTTCGTTCGCTTATAGTATACATAGGACATGATGGTCAGGTGGATCATGGACATCCCGCTGACGCTCGATATCACGGAGGCAACACCCCTCGTGCCCTTTGGAGGGATATAATCGAACGTTCATTTCAGACAACCTGTATTATTATATAATGGCCTTACTTATCGCACTTGACACTAGAGCTTGATTGGACCATAGGAGGCAAACCGCCGTATAACGTGTAATGCCTAGGAATGTTCGTCTAGAACGTTGTTCCAATTGGTTTAACCCACTCCTCGTGTTTCAGTCGTGAGAATCCACTGTCTTCAACGCTCGGATCGCCCTCCAATTCGCTACGCCCAAGTCTAAATACAAGGTTGGTTACATGTTCACAGACCAAATTTAGCAGTGATCTGTGCTAGCTGTGCAACACCCACTGATTGCTGTGGGCGTCTTCGAAGTCAATATATATCTTTTGGACACGACAGTGCCGCAACAGCTCCGCTCCTTGCCCCATCGCTCGCCTTGTCATGTTAACTCAATCACAAAATGTGGCTCTCTCGCCGCTCGACTTCTCCAACTACCAAAATGCTCTCCTCGGCGTTCTGTGGAACGAGCTCATGGAGGGCGCAGTAGAGCCCATGCAAGCGCCTGTACCATACCTGATCAATTTCGCAGAAGACTGCTTGCTATGCGCCATCGTGATGTTGAGGGACAAGTACGAGGTGCCAGTATCGGGCGATTTCACCATTCCTTTAGAGGAAGAAGAATTCTCCAGTGGAGGGGAACCGATCGGCCTCGTGTATGTCACCGCTGCCCCTACGCAGAGCGCAGCACAAGAAGCAAATGTGGGGATCATCATCTCTGCAAGCCATCGACGCAAGGGGTATGCTTGCGAAGCCGTGGAGCTTGCGTTGAAATGGGCGTTTGAAGACCTCAAGTTCCACCGTATCCAAGCGGCGCTCATGGATGACGCCCAGAAAGACCGCGCGATGCGTCTTTTTGTGGGACAGGGATTTAGACACGAAGGCACCCGACGGCGGTCGGTGTTGAAGCCTGAGAGAAGGGGCGTGGTTGGCGTGTGGAAAGACGTCACGTACCTCGCGATGCTTGATACGGAGTGGGCGCTTAGGAATATGTTGAAGCACAAGGGCCCGGTGCCGACGTTATGGGATGAGATGTTCGCGCGACACGCGACGGAGAGAGAGGAGATGGTGAAATGGGATGAGAAGCATAATAGGGTCAGGAAGGTGTCGAGCACGGAAACTCTGCGCGATGGGAACGCTCCGCGCCTACCTGATTGCACGATCATTGACCCGTGGGTTTCCGATATGTCGTCTTCCTCATCCTCATGCGATTCCTCCACTTATGGTTCGGTGCCGCCTTCGCCCAACACCAGCGCTGTGGATATCTCCAAGGCTATGCGAGGATATCTTGATTTCGGGGAGAGCCGTCCGAGATGGAGCCCGTTGCAGGAGGTGGATGATGCCTCGCGACGGTCTTCGCCTTCGCCTTATAACTTTTCCATCCCTTCGACACCGATCCATGATCCGCCTCGTTCGCCTTCGGTTCCTTTGAGCGTCTTTGAGTTTGAATCTGAGGATGAGAGTGATGGAGCACCTTCACAGTGGGGGCCGGCGCTACGCAGAATCCCTCCCCCAGACGCAAGTTCCTCGAGCGGCGAGCTATCGTGGACACAGCGCCCTCTGATCCCGATCAGTCGATCTGCAAGTGTTAGTGGGAGTTCTAGTGGGTCCTGGTCGGACGCGTCGGCTGGTGACGACTGCCCGGACAGTGGCAGCGATTGGGATATGATGTCTGAGCCAGAGCGGTCTTCTTGAGCGGCGCACTGCTGCATGATCTCTGACATGTGCTATTGGAGCTGATCGCAGCCTTGTTATTGCTACGCTAGCTAAGTACCAAGTAGCATTGTCAGCATGATATTTCTTGCCGAGTCCGAACAAACCTAGCACACATGTATTTCTCTGACATGCGCACGCCTGACCATTGTACCAAGTACTGTTATATTTACAAATCGCATCAAATAGTGTACTATCACTTTTCTATTTTTGCTTGAAACTTCCCTGGGACTGAACATTGGCTTGTATCGGAGGATATAGAAGTTGACCTTAAGCAGCTAAGCTTATCCACTTTTCTTTTCAGCAACTGGTTGCGAGGCTGCCCGTGGAGAACAACAAAAATGAAATACACATGCTTATCAGTACAAGAGACCCCCGACATCTCGACAACAATTTCCAAGACTAAAACATATTCAAAAGCGGTAATCTTAACAAACCCATTCGTCTTAAAATTCGAACCCAGACTCTTGTGTAGCATCTTACAGCTCCACGATGACTCTCTGCAGGAACCATTCCTTAAACGTCTCGTTGGATAGGACGATGGGAACCTTCACTTGGCCCATCGAGATATTCGTCTTGTCGCATTTCTGCCTGCGATATTCTGTGAACGTGCCTCTCTCCACGAGACGGATAGTTGGCTTTCTTCCTCTCGCTTGCAAAAACGCAAGATGATACACATTGTTTTTCGCGAGGTCTTCAAAAGTATGCTGTACCGCCTGTTTCGCGTCCTTTCCTGTGAATATATTCAGCGCAGTCACGCGTAGGAGCTCCGAAGCAAGCACGAACCTATTTCCCCTTCAATCTCTACCAAGTACCCATAAGTAACTGGAGCGATTCGGTCGTCAGCTACAACAGTGAAATCTATGATCTGGCCGATCCATCGTTCAGATGCAGATACGATCGCGTCCGTCAGTTGCGACTCTGTACATGTTGATCCATACGCCAGATTAAGTGAGCCACTTCCTCAGCAGGCATATCAGTTGCAAAGTCGCAAATCAATCATCTGGTAACTCACTCTCGCCTATGAAGGTAATTGATGACAGGTAATCCGTCGTCTGGCGCAAAGCCTTTAACGACGACGACATCGCCAATGCGGTATCTCCACATGCCATTGCGGGTCGTCAAGACGGGCTCATAATGCCCTCCAGTCTCAAGCTCCCACTGCGGCAGGGATGAGTACACAAAGCCGGAATGCAGTAAATGGTTCTTACAGCGGACAATACATGCTCAGAAGGCTCGTTGGAACGCACATCCAGATACTCGGTGACCCCATCTACGGGCACCATCTTGAAGTCGGTATTAGGGTTGCCGTTGAAATATGGTACGGCGATAAAACATTCTGAACTGCCATAACAAGGAGCCTGCATCGTGACAGAAGGTCCAAGAATATGAGTAACCTTGTGTCGATCAGTTGGTTGCATAGTAAACCTTCCACATTTGACGTGCCTTTGGAACGGATGCAGCAGCGGAGCCTCCAGTGATCCCGATGAACTTTTTCAAGTCAGGCCACACACGGACGGCCCATCCCTGGATTCCAGGAGGTCCAATTTCGCGAAGTTCGGCAGCACGAATAGGGTTTGGAGTAAAATGTTTCTGAGAGGATTTGTGAGTTGAATGAAAAGTAATAATCAACGCAGATACAACCTCCAAAGGTTCTCGCAAGTGGTCTAATTTTTCTATGTCTGGAATGATCCCTTTCTCGATGCAGTCGATAAGTAGAGTCCACTCCTCCTCTATGTATTGCAATAGATTGACGAATACATTGGCGAAGAGGAAGCGGATGGTTGCCACCCGACGATCAGCGAGTGCAAATAGCGCGTTCAAAAGGAAGAAAGCACGAAAGCCCTTCACCAAGGAAATCGCGTATGGATCTGTTTTCCCCGGAACTACAAGTGGCCTGGATATCAGCAGGTGCAAGGGAAAGAAAGTAGCACAACGGACTTACCCCACAAGTTGAGTCTGTCCATATCATGCTCGATGTCCCAATTCTTTTGCATTCGGAGAAAACCGACGGTTAAAGAGCAGACCGGCAACGTCTTGGAGCTCTGACCGTCCTCACTATACAATTTCAGGACTTGCCCGAAACTCAAAGAAGATGGTGATAAGGTACTACCCTCTGAAGGAGGAAGCGACAGATATAGAGGGTGGTGCAACAAGTGCGGAGCGGGCCAGTATGTTGGAAACATCTTTAATGATTTGCCAGATGTCATGCTGGACATGGCTAAGCAGTAGGGCAGTCCTGGAGCGAACAGGTCTGTTACGTCAGACTCCTTGCATTGGGTCGCAAAAAACTTTGCTATGTATGGCTTGTAAGGCTCGTAGTCTGTGGTGGGAACAAATTCTCGGAAGCTGCGTAGAAACTCAATATCGTCCTTCGAGTCGCTATGCGCGATGGCTTCGCGGAAGTTTGCCAACTCGGGAGCGTGTTGAGCATACTGGGACGCGGAATTCGGTCGTATAAACTGGAGCAGGGCTTGGTCCATGTGCTCCTTGACCCGCTGAGTGAGTTCGGCGGACAAGGAGTCCAGTATATCAGTGTCAGGACGAGACATTGGTTTGATATGGTGTGAAGTTGGAATGCGACATTATATAGTCAAAGGCTTGTATCACCTGACGGGATCGACCTGCAACATCTCACGTGAGCCTTACTACAGGGCCAGAGCCCAAGAAGTGTCGCGTTGTGCTGGCATTTACACAACAGGAATATCCAAAGAGGTGACCATGTATCATGCATGTGCTTACCTGAGAATGTGCCAGTATACCGGCACCACATGAAAATGATATGATCCCCTGTACATTTTCCATAATCACTGTACATCGCGTCATATTCAAATTGAATCACTCATCGACTCATCTATAAATAAAACCCAAAGCTGCTAGACGTCCTGCGCTTCCCAAAAAAATCTCAATTGACTAGCTGAATGGATCAAGTTCACGATCTTCGGTTATTCTGCATGTCGCTGTCTTTATTTGGGGATAGCATCCTGAAATGCACCATTTGAAAATGGTGATTCATGCACGAACATTAATGGGGTTGATGGTGAATAATAAGGAGAGACGTACGGTCCTGCTCGTATCTAGTTTCCCGTAAGGTCGTTAAACCGTAAAAGAAGGCGGTCTGAAATTAACCAATGCCATTGAATTGCACTGTGACAAGTATCGCTGCATTTACTCTGGAATTAGTGTGGATTGACGGCACGTTGATTAGGAAACATACAAAGGGCATAGAGCAATTACGCACGAACTGCGCATGTCGTCCTAATAGAGAGACGCAGTCAATATTGATGAACCTTTACTCCGTGAGTTCAGCGAAGGATTTCCGTAAATGTAGGATGGGTGCTGGGACTAAGGGGGAAAAGAGGAAGCGATGGTAAATGGTGCCGAGAGCTTTTAAATGTTGGGCCATTCTATGGCATAGATAGGACCGAACATACGGCTCCAGCAATCGATCATGACGCAGTACTGAGCATACTGCCACATGTACAGGTATGTTCAAGTAGATGTGGGTTTTGCTTTTCTAGGCTATTGTACACCCGCTGACACACGATTTTGTGCATCGCGAAACGCCTGGAAAAATTTAGCGCCAGCCAGACTACCTGAAAGGTATCGACAGAGCGTCTTTCTCCATTAAGCAGGGTAAGACGCTGCGGTAGTTAGTTCTGCAGTAATGCAACAGGATCATCTATATCAGTTTGCAGATCTGCTACTTTATACTTTCAGTTCTACCTCGAAACAAGGGATCAGGCAGAAATACGTATGTGTCACGACGAGTAGGGATTCCCGCGTTGCACATCTTCATAGGCAGACACGTGTGTTCCGCATCACTGCAAGTTGGCGAAGAGAAACCGGAGGTAGTCAGTGAGCGCAAATAGCGCATTCAAAATGAATGCACGACAGCCCTACGTATGGATCTATTTCCCCCGGAATTCAAAGTTACCTAGATATCAGCAAGTGCAAGGAAAAGTAGCACAATGGACTTACCCCGTAAGTCGAGTCTGTCCATATCATGCTCGACGACCCAGCTCATTTGCATTCGCATATAACCGAGGGTTACCAAGCTGACCGGCAACGTCTTAAAGTTTTGACTGTCCTCGCCACACAATTTCAAGACTTGCGACATACCCAAAGAGGATGGTGATAAGGCGCTACCCTCTAAATGAGGAAGCGACAGGTATAGAGGGTGGTGCCAGGCCGATATGTTGGAAATGCCTTTACTGATTTGCCAGATGTCATATTGGACACGACTAAACAGTAGGGTAGTCCTGGAGCGAACATGTTCGTTACGTTAGACTCATTGCATTGGGTCACAAAAAATTGGCTATCAACGGCCTGTAATATTCGTAGTTGGAACGAATTCTCGGAAGCTGCGCAGAAATTCTATATCGTTATTCGAATTTCCCTGTGCCATGACCTCGCGCAAGTTTGCCAACTCAGAAACATGTTGAGCAAACTGAGACGTAGATTTTGGATGTGTAAACCCGAGCAAGGCTTGATCCAGGAGATCCTTGAGCCGCTGAGAAATTCACCTTCGAGAGCTTCTTGACCACACCCGGCACTTGACCAATGAGATGGTCCGCTCTGCACAGCATAGGAACAATCTTTGTCCCGACACCAATCAGCCTCTCGCGTATCCGCAAATTGCAAGCGATTGTTCTCGGTGTAGAGAGAGACGATGTTGTTGAAGATGGGCTTGCAGCGGTTCCGGCCCCAAGTGTCTTTCGATAAGCAATAGAGGGCATATGAGCAAGAGAGGGAGATGGCGTAGCCTCATACTTGTATCGAGCATGCGGGGAGCGCCAAGCTGTGCAGAAAAATATCTATTTCGAACTACAAACATATGGCAAGAGTCAGCAAAGCCTAAAATTGGACCCAAGACGCACGAGTATAATTCGCAGGCCAGGAATTGGGCACCTTGAACGGCAGAAAAGCAAAGACGAAACTGGAGGTAGGAGCCTCGGAGAACGAACTTACAAATGAAAAGAATAGCACAGGACAAATGTCCATAAGCGTAGAAGAATTTCAGGCCACGTCAGAAAAGGTATGTGAGGGGACTTGCAGAAGGATGAATACTATCATGGATTCATGAAGAGACAGGGCGCATGTACATCCGAAGCCACAATAGCTCAAAACTTGAAAGCACACGACTCAAAACAGTCGTTATAATATCAATAGATTTGATGGTCGTTGTTTTACATTATTTGTACCTCGGCGATTTTCGTCACGACATGTTCTCCGCATTCTCACTGTATTTCATTCATATATATACTTGTGCTTTAGGTACTATCGATATTATATTAGTAGTTCTCGTCACGACACTGAGACTTGTGCATCAGTTCTCTTTCAAATATAGCCGATCTCAACCATCCGTGATGCACCCATGGCTGGCATCTTTGACCATTTTGACATACTTGTAGAGTGTTCCTTGGGTGACTTTGAGTGGTGGGGCAACCCAGGCTTTCCGACGGAGTTCAATCTCCTCAGAGGAGACGTGTAATTTGATGGTGTTTGCCACAGCATCGACAGAAATGGTGTCACCATCCTCCACAAGCGCAATAGGTCCACCGACCTGGGCCTCAGGGACGACGTGACCTATGCAGAACCCATGGGATCTGATATATATATATATCGTATCAGTCTACAAATCATGGTGAATGGAAATATCACAAACCCTCCGCTAAATCGTCCGTCTGTGACGCACGCGACGTCCTGACCTAGGCCAGCGCCCATAATCAAGCTAGTGAGTTTTAGCATCTCTCGCATACCTGCATAGTCCGTGCATTAATATTACCGTTCTGGCCAAAGACACTTTTCACTTACCAGGGCCACCCTTAGGGCCGACGTAGCGCATAACGACAACTGTTTTTTCGCCCTTTTTGATCGAGCCAGACTCCACGGCGGAGACAAATGCCTCTTCTGAGTTAAAGGTTCGAGCTTTTCCGGTAAACCCGAGCCCTTCTTTGCCGGTAATCTTGGCAACAGCACCTCCAGGAGCCAAATTACCGCGCAAAATTCTAGGGTTATTTGAGAAAAAGAGCTACTGAAAAATGGCAATGACGAACCTGATGTGTCCGGTAGCTTTAATTGGCTTGTCGAGGGGACGGATCACGTCCTGACCAGCGGGGATTTCCCCATGTTTATGTACCCAACGCTCCAGGTTCTCGCCTAAAGTAGCGCCAGTGACCGTCATGTTGTTGCCGTCAATGTAATTGTTTTTCATCAAGAAATGAAGTACACCTGTAGTTGAAAAAAATCCGTGAACACAGAAATCACCATGGTAGTCGAATCACTGACTGGGTATGCCCCCAATTTTGTAGAGGTCCTCCATGACATACTTGCCGCTTGGTTTGAGGTTGGCGAGGAAAGGTGTTGATTCAGACACTCGTGCGAAATCATCAATGGTAAGCTTGATGCCAACGGCGTGTGCCATAGCAATAAGATGCAGCACGGCATTTGTCGACCCTCCTAGGATCATGGTAAGAACCTGAGACTTGGTATGAGTGACCGTAAAATTTGAAAAAAGCATTGCACACCATAGCATTCTCGAATGCCAAACGTGTCATGATGTCGCGGGGCAGAATATTTTTCTCGATGAGGTTTCGCATAGTGGGACCAACGGTCTTACATTCTTCGTGTTTTTCTTGAGATTCGGCTGGATACGACGAAGAACCAGGAAGAGTCATTCCAATGACCTCAGCTGCACTGGCCATGGTGTTCGCCGTGTACATCTGCCAATATTTGGATAAACTATCGCTGAATTGGGTACAGTAGTACTCACGCCTCCACAAGCACCTGGGCCGGGGCATGCATGTCGCACTGTCTCATACCTGAGGGCTTCTGCTTCTGGTGTCTTTCCGTCTTGTAGGTATTTTCCATATGCTTGGAATGCGGAAACAAGATCTAATCGAGGTTGACCCGCGCATGATGAATTAACACGAATTGTGCCTCCATACACCATAAGACCTGGACGGTTGAGTCGTCCGACTATACAAGTGTGATAATATGTCAGTGCCAGTAGTGGATCTGAACAAGTACCCCACTCACGAGCCATCAGCACACCTGGCATATTCTTGTCACATCCTGGTACTACAACCATTCCATCCAACCAGTGTCCTCCAGCAGCTGTCTCTACCTGATCTGCAATAAGGTCCCGCGACTGCAGAGAGTATGACATTCCCGCAGTGCCCATGCTGATCCCATCACTAACACCAACTGTACCAAACTGGTAACCGATGAGGCCAGACTCGACCAAGGAACCCTTGATTTCCTGCCCCAAGCCAAGCAAGTGTCGGTTGCATCTGAAAGCACATTAATATTAATCTATTTATGGGCACACGTTATTCCTTACGGGTTACCCTCATACCTTAACCGTAGTCAATGGAATGGCTGTGGGAGAATTTGATTGCCTCAGCACTCACCATACACTAGCGACACCGACCATGGCTTTTTGAAAGTCCGCATCATCTTTGATACCTTCAGTAGCATACAACATAGCCTACGAATATCAGTTTCTCCACATTCCTCACCGACTCAAATGACTCACTTGACTTGCACCTTGATCTTTTGGTTGCGTGACAGTCCTGCTATAGCGATTCATGATGGGCTTGTCCTCGCATCTTGTAGAGGATAACCACAGTGATCTGGTTTGCCTTGCAAGGCTCCTGCTAGTTGAGAGTCTCGAATGCATGTGCGATCTGCTAGCAACAACTCGACAGTGTGCGGTTGGAATGCGATATTATATAGTGTGAAGGCTTGTATGACCTGATGCGATCGGCCTGCAACATCTCACGTGAGCTTTACTTGGGGCCATTGGAGCCCAAGAAGTGTCCCGTTGTGCTGGCACTGATATCTACACAACAGGGATATCAAAAGAGGTGACCATGTATCATGCATGTGCTCACCTGAGAATGTGGCGGATCAACCAGTATACCGGTACCACATGTAGATTATATGATATTCCCTGTACATTTTCTGGAATCAGTATCGAATTGAATAACTTTTCTATTCGTCTATAAATAGAGCAAAGCCGCTAGACGTCCTGCGCTTCCCAAAAAAGAACTCAATTGCGACTAGCTAAGTTCATATGGAGGTCCCCACTGGATCAACTATGTGATCTGCGATGATTTTTCCCGTGGCTGCCTTCACTTGGGGATGACGATGCTCTGATGTATCATTGATAATGGTTTATGCGCGAACATCAATGTGGATAACAAGGGGGTGCCTACGGTCCTACTCATATCTAGTTTCCCGATCAAAATTGGCCAAGGACTTCCCAAGTGTGTGATCTCACAAAGCGCAAACCTGTTTAAATGATGTTATTGTGAATAACGATCAAACTCCCGTGGAACTTCTGATGGAAGATATCATAGCAGATGAGACCTATGGAAGTGTGACACCGGCGTACCATTGAATATCTCCAAGTTAAAGATAGCAATCACATTACTGTTCTTCCCTAGGTAGGCGGACCAAACAGAAAAAAGACGGCCGTTCCTTCTTTACCAGAAGGGTCTAAAGTTGCCCGCAGTCTGGTTAGTTCTGAAACCTTAGAACCGGTTCGAAAAGGTCCAGCAGGAGAGATAAGTCGGGAGATTAGGTGCGGGGACTGACTGATTTTTTGAGCGTTGGGAACCTGTTCGAAGTTCGAACCATAAATTATTTGATGGAGCTCAGAGTAGACCGCTGTCCGCTGTTTCGCTGTTGATGCACGTACTAAGCTGCCAAGTTTTTGCCAGATGCTTATATAAGCCAAATCACACCCCTGTCCCAAAGCTTTTCGCCTTGTCACAATGATCATCGATACTCTAAACTTCACCATTCCTTTTACTTCTTGGATTGGGATAGCCAGGTGCGATTCGCTGGGCGTGATGAAATTATAAGTGACCTAATGTACTAATGTACAAGCAGCCCGCATGTCGAGTTTCCCGCCCACTCAGCAGCACTCTCGCCAGCGTTCGGTCAGGCTATACTGTCCAAATTATGCATAACCATGTGTGGTAAGAAACAGCATGGTTATGCATGGTGGACTCTAGTCCTTGATGGGTGAGCCGTTATGCATAATAGATTCCCACCATGCATAACGCTGCCAGTAATGATCCGCCACACCATTTCTCAATTCGTGTACCCACTTTGAGTAGTTCTTAGCCTAATTTAGCCCACCCCCCTTTTTGTACACCCTCGGTGGGACACGCCTTATATCCCCTGGTTCCCCGCACCCCGAATTGGCAGGAGATCGAGATTTTACGTTCGCCGTACCTTTGATGGCCTACCACACCCCGAATTGGCAGGAGATCGAGATTTTACGTTCGTGTACCTTTGATGGCCTAGTCCTCGTCGATCTCTGCGCATCAGCGGAATCTCAATTCATCTCTAGGTATCAGTATTGCCTGAGTGTTAAGACTGGCTGCTCTCGTGCCTGGATATGCAAATATTCACGCTATGTCCCGTCTGTTACGACGCTAAGTCGTGTTCGTACTTGGATGGGCTAAACAGCAAAGGCCAAGAAGATGGCTTTCAAGATGCTGAGTGCTGTCGGCTTCCACAGAAGAGCAGAAGTTGCGTACGCCTTGTGGGGCGATGATAGCGATTACAGACGGAAGGTTCGTGGTCGTTGAGACAAGCTTCCGAAGGTACGAGCCTGAAGTCAAGCAAGGTAGCCTTATGCGAGACAGGAGGTTTCAAGGGAAAACCAAGTAAGATTAAAGTAAGGAACATCTACTTTAATCGTCGACCTTATATAAGGCTACTCTATCGTATCTAAGCTCAGCTTGAAGCTGGGTTCTAATCTGCTTATCTATCGAGTCAGAGATAGCGGCCATGAGGCGGGCTTCTATCAGTACATGAGGCAACACGAGGCTTGCCTTCTATCTTGATAACAGGAATAGGTCTTCTAGACCTATGTCGTCATTTCGTCGTCATAGCGGTCCAGACCGCTTATCTAATCCGGCATCTTCCGGAGTTCTCTTCTATATCGGTCCGGTGTTCTATCCTGTGTTCTATCCAGTGTTCTATCCAGTGTTCTATACCAAAGGCAGGCGAGGCCTAGGTATCGTTCGCAGTTTAGCCTCGTGCAGGAGGTTCGATAGTTTAGCCTCGTCTCGGAGGTTAGGGCAGGGTGGCAAGGGGACTCATGTAACGTTGTTGTAACATTACCCCACTACTACGGTCAAAGTCACCGACTTTGATTATCTAAGACTTCTTCCATTGTCAAGGACGGCAGCGCCGGTTTCGTGGAGGTGGAAGGTACGGGGGGAGTTTCAGGGTCAAGGGACAGTTCGGTAGGATGCCGAAGTTCTAGGTCCGTGAGCGCCTTGTGGTTGTGCTCCCAATCAGAGAGAGCTTCGAAAAACTTCTCTTCATCTGAAAACTCTTGTAGGACAATGCGTCCGTTGAGTCCAGGACAATGTATGGACAAATGGTTCGGTCCGAGTTCATCGCAAATGCAACAAACATAGTCGGGACACTTCTTCCAATGATGTCCGTATCCTCCGCAGCGCTTGCATGGCGTTGTGCGGGTACAATCTGTGGTAGCCTTTCGCTTTCTAGGCAGGCGTACCGGACGGGTTTCTTCTTTGGCTCTTCTGGTTTCTACAATCTTAACAGCTTGGTTCGCGATGTCGGGGAAGTCAAGCGGGAGTAGATGGAGTGCGAGGCCGCGGATCCGTTTCTGTAGATGAATGACGGCGAGTTTCTTCGTCTCTTCATCAAGGTCAACACGATTGGCTACATCTTCCAGTAGCTTCGTGGTTCGTATAATGCAGACGGCAAGGGAGGTGCCTGCTGCAAGTCTGGCGTCATGTTCACCAAGGATGTCGTCGATCACTTGGGAGTACGCGGGTGTTAAGATAGCTGCTTCATTGAAAGCGCTGTTCTCAATCGTTCTGAGGATTCGTCCGTAGTCGGAGTCCTTCAGTGTTACAATGACGGGAGAGTTTTCTTCAATAGAGGTCGTCATGATGGAGGTTCGTGGAAAGGATGTTCGGGGAAGTCAGGGTTTATATCTTCTTCCAGATCGATTCAAGCTCCGTTTGATTCATGCTTATCTTTTGTTTCTTAACTTCTATCTCCTATCAAGGTTCAATCGTGAGGGCTTATCGATGCCTCGTTTTCCGCTATCAGAGGGGAGGTGCCGTGATAGGTGCGATCTTCTATAACCTTTTTGTTTGATCTAAGGTTCGTCATCAGAGGGTGGTAGTCATTGCCATGATGGGTCGGGTTCTCGAGGGTTCCGTGGGCTTGCAGGAGTTTCCATGGAGTTCGTCTTTTGATAGTTTTAGGCTCGTTCCGGAGGATCTTCTTCTGCTATCTTTTGTTTAGATGTTCACATCAGATATCGAAGGTTCTATGCGTGGGATACGCGGGGGTCTTCTTAACCTTTTGTTTAAGATCGTGGTTCTTATACGCGGGTGTTTATCGAAGAGATCAGTGGATAAGGGGTTCCGAAGCTTGCAGGAGTTTTCCGGAGTTCGTCCTTTGTCCAATAGTTTTACGTCGTCTCGGACGATCTACTGAGACAAGGCAGTCTTCAGTTCGTAGTTTTACGTCAGTTACGGACGTTCGTAGTTTAGAGTCATTCCGGACTATCGCGCAGTTTAGCCTCATGCTGGAGGTTCGAGGGTTCGTGAAATCGGTAATCAGAAGTGGTCGGAGTCGGGAGTGTAAAAAATAAAAGCAAATCGAGGGATTTTACCCCCTTCCTAAGCCGTATAGTCACCGACTATATTCTTCTTCTAAAAGTCGAGGCCCGAAGCAGGGCCGTCGTAGTCGAGATCGTTTCCTTCTAGATCTACCATCCGCACAAATTGCGGAGGTTCATCATCGTCTTCGTCTCTGTTATCCTCAAGGTCCGTGAAGTGGACAAAGCTGGGTCCGTCGGAGATGATGCGATCAATTGTCATCGCTTCATCGGGGTATTCAGTGGGGATCTCCCCGGACGTCGTGGTGAGGTTGAGGGAATTCGGTGCGTGAAGTTCATTGGCTGTGTCGGTATCATCAGCCGGACTTTCGTAAAACCTGAGTTTCTTGGCTGCAGGTGCGGTTGCCGTTTGAACGGCTCTTCCTTTTCCGAGAACGGATATCGGTTCTCCGGAAAATACAAATCTATCTTCCATCCGTATTTGGGCTGGTTCGGGTTCCAGTCTGAGCGCCTTGGAAACAGGCGGTTCTTCTGTCATCATTGCGCGTCCCTTTCCAAGGACTGACGCAGGCTCCGCCGAGAATTCATATCGGGCGGGTACGGGATCTTTCTTCATCGGCTCAACAGCCGGTTCAATCTTCGTCTGCTGAAGAGCAGGTACAATCTTCTTCGTAGGAGGCTTTTCGGGATAAGCGTGGTCGAATATCGAAGCCGGTCTAGAAGTCTTCTTCTGAGTTGTCTCCGGATCAGTGGCCGGTCTCTTCTGTTCGAAGCGTCTGGCTGCAAGGTCTATTCTTGGCAGCGAATCTTTCTTCAACACGGTTTTCGTGGGCCGTGGTACGATTGTTGAGGAATTTGAATACTGCGGTTCCTCGGGGACCGGTACGATCTGGTTGTTCGAGGCCAGGCTTTTAGAAGCGCTGGCGGTTCTGGGGGTTCTGGGAGTTATCGGGGACACTGATCGTTCCCTGTTCTTCGTCTTCTTCTTTTCTTTCTGGAAGAGTGGCGTCTTGCCGTTTTTCTTCCGATCAGAATCAATCTCCTTTTCCGTCTTTCGGGAATCTGCGGTGCTTTTGAGAGTCACCGTGCCGGTCATCCAGTTGATGGTGGGGTTCTGGCTGCGAAGCCAAGGCAATCCGAGCAAGAACTTGTCTTGAGGAGCAAGTTCGGCAAGGTAAAACCTTTCGGTTATCACCCGTTCGTCGATCTGGAAGGTGAGGTTGCAATACCTCTCTATCGGTTCTTTTCCAAAGCGGGTTTCGTCAGCATTTGAGAGTACTAAAGGTTTTTCTAGCTGGTGCGTCGAGATTCTGTGCTGCGTGATGATGTCCTTATGAACGAAGGACTCACACGCCCCCGAATCTACAATCATGGTAGTCGGACTCGGGGTAGTTCTCTTTCTGGAGATCAGGGTGGCTTTCACCCGTAGTTCTTTCATCGTCCCGGCCACCTTGATGGTGCGCAAGCGGGGTTCTTCTTCGATCATCTTTCTCCGTGGGGTTCGGGTCCATTGAGGACAGCCCGCGGCTTTGTGGCCGGTATTATGGCACACAAAACATTTCTTCTCTCGCAGGTATATGCGAGTCTCCTTTCCGGACAGGTGTCTAGCGGCAAAGGTGTTTCTGGTGAATGTTGCCATACTGGAAATGGTTCTATTCTTCTTCGTAGTGTTCCCTGCAGGAAGTCTTCTACTGTGACAGCGGTTCTTTAGGTTCCTCGACTGGTCAGGCCGGTGCAATCTGAGATCTGAGATCTTCTGGTTCTACAGGCTCCGGTGGGAGGCAGGTACGTTCAGGACGTCACAGATGGTGACGTGCGTGAAGACTTTAATCTTTTGTTACGACGCTAAGTCGTGTTCGTACTTGGCCTTTGCTGTTTAGCCCATCCAAGTACGAACACGACTTAGCGTCGTAACACCGTCTGCCTTGCAAATATCAATAAGACTGGTTGCTCTTTTGCCTGATCACGCAAAATTTCATGCTTATGTCTTGTCTGCCTTGAAATCTGCCTTTCATCTCACAAATCGCGAAGTCTCAACAAGAAATATGCTCGTATTCTCAATATTCAACAACACAAGACACGTAAACATCACTTGACAACTCAGTATTATCGACGGAACACAAAACGTAGTGTAGTATCACATAGCCTTTCTCCTCCTAGAAATTGAGTTAGTGTTCGCGCTTGCAAATAATAAACACTCGAAATCACAAACCTCTTTTGAGAATGGCCACCTATGCTATCAGCCTGTGCCAAACGTGTCGTCTGCTGGCGCACATGCTTTGTCTTCCTAACAGCAGGAGCAACTACGTCATCGGCTTGCACAGCGGAGCCCGATGCACTACCAACATCAGAAGGGAGGAGCGCCGGCTGTTCTGAAACCTGGGCAACCTCAACAGTGGAGGGCGCAAGAGCAGAATCCAAGTCCCCAGCACAGCCGGAACCACTAGCAGAGGATACTACTGGTGGCGCCAAAACCTGAGCTGTTCCAGCGGCTGGAACCACTGGAGGATCAGGCGGGTATGCAGAAGAACTGAAGTTATACTTTTCCGTTGATACCGGCAAGGGGGCAAAAGACGGTAATGGGGTAGCAATAGCGGATGTAGTGCGGAAGCGAAGGCGAGGGGGTGTCATGAGGGCAGATGCGGATGTACTGTACGTCTGTTTCCTCCATGAGGTAATGGGAGTTTCCGGCATTGGACTAGATGATGGCATTGGACTGGATGAAAAAGTAAGATCTGGCAATGAGTCTCCCATAGTGGACGCTGGGGTGGTTGCGCCGGATGATAAGGAGTGGGCAGGCAAAATAAAATCGAAGTTAGATGCCGGGGTTCTGGGTACACTGGCGTCATAGGGATCAAAAGACATGGAGGTGTCGGTGGTAAAGCCAGTGGGTATTTGATTGTCAAAGGTAAGGCCGGCGCTTGTGTCTCCCATAGTGTGTGCCGGTGTATTTTCGCTGGATGACAAGGAGCGGGCAGGTAAGGTGAAATCGTAGTTAGATGCTGATGTGCTGGTGAAGCAGGCGTCATATGGATTGAGGGACATGGAGATGTCAGTGCCGAAGTCGGTGGACATTTCGTTGTCAACGGTAAGGCCGAGGGGGTTGCTGAAAGGCAGAAGCCCCTGCATCTGAGACAAGTCGACACCTCGCAGGGTGTCCGAGAGTGTGAGGGGGGCATGTAGGGCAGTTCCATATGATGCTGGAGTCACAGTCGATGACGCAACCTCCAGTGACCCAGATCCTTCACCCAGGGGGTTGCTGAAAGGCATAAGTCCCTGCATCTGAGACGAGTCGACACCTCGCAGGGTGTCTGTTACAATAACATGTAACCGAGAACCCCTCCTACGGAGGTCACCATGACCTTAGCCCCTATCCCGCCATATGCACCGTCTTGGAAAGACTTACCGACTCAACGGAGACTCGTAGAGACGCCTAGAACGGCCTGGATGCCGTTAGATGACCTAGACCAGCCTAGGCTACATCTGGACGGACCTAGATGGTCCTCGACCCGGATCATGGAGAAGCTCTGCTTCATGGTCAGAAGAGAAGCCGCATGCCGCAGCATGCGCAGTTAAACTACAAGGCATGTTTAGCCTTGAGGACTGATAGAAAAGGCGTGCAACGCCTCATGTACAGATAATCGCCCGCATGGCATCAGATAAGATGCCCTTGTATAGACACACTCATACCTACCTACCGAACGTAGTATTGGTCTGTGCACACGGACGACAGTATATAGAGCAGACAGAATCATGTATATTCCCTACTTGATTCTACTAGGTTTTATCAGAACTTCCTCTGTGTGATCATCCCAATCACTCAGTCTAAGCCGCATCTAAAGGAAAGCCGACGCTACCTTTAGTGGAACCCCCGAACCTCTCATTCGAGAGAAGATCCCCGTCTCTCCAGTAGCGAGCCCGCTATCAGATTAGGCAATCCGCCTAGGGAGAGCTCGACCTATCCTAGTCCGTAACAGTGTCCGAGAGTGTAAGGGGGGCATGCAGGGCAGTTCCATGTGATGCTGGAGTCACGGTTGATGATGCACCCTCCAGTGACCCAGATCCTTCACCCGAGGGAGATGAAATCGTGGGTGGTAGACCGTTCGCGAGTGAAGTCGTGGGTGATAGACTGTTTGCGAGTGGGGCGACAACGTCAATGGCACGAGACTTTCTGACATGCTCGGCTATTGAATCCAATGAGTATGCGTGACCGACCATCAAACGGGAACATTACTCACGAAACAGCGTTCCAACAAATTCCAAGTATGGATTGAGATGCTTCTCAACGAATTTTGGGGTGGCTTGCTTCCAATTGTGTCCATCCCCATTCACTCCTGTATGGTAACTAAGAAGTCTTGAGCATTCTGAAAATGAGCGAGCGAATATGAGACGCACCTCATCGCATTTAGTTGGCCACCAAGATGAGGGTCAGGCCCAGCACCCATAACAGTCCATTCCCACCCTGTCATGTCCTTGATGACTTGCAAGAACTGCGCAATGGGAGCAGTACACTCCTGGAGAGCGCTAATAATGTATAAGCAATGGGAAAATGGTGTGCGGGCAAAAGCCAAAACTTACGTTGCATACTGTTTATTGGTAGGTGCGGATTTTTCATTTTGCACATTAAATGCGACTTTCGCTTTGTGCTCTTCTCGGACCTTCTCCTCACACAAAGCTTGGACTTCTGGTGGTGCGGCTTTGTATGCTTCGCGTGTAAGTTTTCGAATAGCTGACAATTTTTCCTGTTTAGTCACGAGCTCGCCGGACTTAATGGCGTCTTGAACCCGCTCTTTTACTTCCTCCTTATAGGCAATGGTCGAAAAGATCTCGGCAGGGGTATGAACCCGAGTTCCTTTGGCTTTATTGGTTAACGTTTTCTGGATGACTTTAGTCATCGAGTTCACAGCTGAACGGCCACTTCGTTGGGACCTATAGTTGAACCAGGTTCGTATTTGCTGTTTTAAGCATATCAGTATGTACATCATCGGTGAGGGCATCATGAGGGCAGTGCTTACCTGTCTCCGCTTCTGAACTGCTGCCTTCAGAACTTTAGTTTCCTCGTCTGTACGGGGATCGCTGGCAGGAGTATTTTTAAATACTACATCCTCTTCAGGCCATCTTTTGAACCATTCAAGGTATATTGGATCCCAGTACTGGGAAACCTTTGCCTGTAGCTGCGCTAACAGAAACCCGCTATAGTACGTCTCAAGGAAGTCTTTTTGTTCAGGTGTGGTCCAGACTGTTCCTGCCATCCTATCTGAGCTGAATTAATGATCACTCGATGAGACACAATTGTCACCGCTTGCCTTGGTGAGGTATGCGTTTTTTTGAATAACACGATTTTAGGTTTTGTGCGGTCCTAGTATTACCGCAGGCCAAGCCTGAAAATCTAATGCTGACCACACATCTTCAACCAATCAGCAAGTGTATTTGCTGATCGGAGTTGAAATCGCCTGGTAACTGCTGCCGTCTGCTATTTTTTTACTCACACTCCCACCTCATTTGGAATGCAGAGCCCAAGGAACGATAATACGGCTTACCATCGTTTTCCACCCCCATTAACATTCACCGTAAATGAGCTGGCTGCAGCATTGGGGTTGATTAGGGATCAAAGCGGTAAATTTTATTTTCAACCATTCATCTGACGGCTCATTAGACCTTTTGCTGCAGACCAGGGATATGATGATGGTGACCCCCCAGCATTCACATTGCGTGAGCTGGGAGGAGCATTGACGTTAATCAGTGACCAAAATGGTATGTTCAACATTTCAATTAATCTGAATCTCGGCTCATCACACTCACTCCTCATCAATAGCCATATTTGCTGCACACGATGGACATGATTCAGAGGAGCTGCCGAGTCCACAGACTGAATATGGAGCATGCGCGGCATGCGTTTTCCGGGCACACCGCCACAATTGCTATGCTTGTGGTATAGCAATCACTTCGAGCCGCGTTGCAACAGGCCTCTCCAAGTCGGAAACCACCGGTAAGTTTTCATAGTGCTACCCTGGAGTTTACTGTTTAATATGTTCACTATACCAGTCACTGGCACCACGAATCCCACCGCTACCACATCTGCAACAGAAAGTGAAGCTGCGCAGGAGAGAGGGGGCGACTTTTGTGATGTAGTAGTTGTGCGATGTTCCTGTAGGGACTGATACATAGATTTCAATCGCATTTTTTACATATATATGTTGAGAGAATTGTGAATGTCAAGCTCTTGGGGAGATGGATTACTAGGTCGCATCAACAGCCGTCCCAAAGTCATTGTACAATATGCTTTCATTGAAATTCACGTCTATTGGGTCGCGAGTCTATAACATAGTGATATCGGGAGATTTCTGATACGGTAGCTCATTTTACCTGTCCTGCGCTAGTCAGAATGCATAATATATAAATCAGACTGTTGAAACTATTGTATTTACAGCTGCAATGAAACTTATGTGCTATGATTTAATGTGTCCCGAAGTGGTGGCTGAGGCATTACATGAAATCTAACTCGAGTGTGAAAGCTTACCTACGCCTTTTCACACATTCCAGTTGACTGACGCCTTGCATGACTCGGAAATGCAAGTACAACACAACCGAGCAGTCCCATCAAGCTTGTTTAAAATCCAAGAAAAAACACTACGCCAGGCAAGTCAAGTAATGTGGTTCATTCTTTGCGCGTGCACTACTGAACTCACAATCAACAGGAATCGGCAGCAAGAACGTGTCAAATCCCGCACTCGCTGGCGTCGCCGGGGTGGAGCTTCAGATGTGAGTCAAACATTTTGGTTGATTTGTCAAATTTTAATGCACACTGTTTGTAGGAGACACTCGCACTCCTTAATCATCTGGACGATATCTGGTTCAATGCTGGTTATGAACCAGGTTCCAATCTGTATCAACGATTGGAGTCTGAAGGATTGAATGCTGTCTGTGCTGCTGACCGTGAAGGATGGGATTCACTGAAGCCAGAATACGAGAACGACGTTCGCGAGGTACGCAAACTCTTGGAGCAAGCACATGGGTTATCCACGTCAGCCGGAAGCTTAGAGGGTCCTTATACCGAGCAACTACGAGTGGGGGTATGTTCGGTGACTCGCATCTTACAATTTCGCATCCAGGCATGCGAGCAAATGATCCAGAAGATGGACTTATGTGTAGACTCATATTTTGAAGCTCTTCGCAAAGGGACACTTGATTGGCAATTAGCGCTTAGCACTGGCAAGTGATTACTGTAGTCTTCTATGTATTTTGCATCTAGTGTTGAACATCACGTGATCCCTGTGCGGTATGTTGTTAATACTATATCTCCTCATTGTTTCAACGCTGTAGCCCTCATGGGAAAAAGACGCCGCGAGCACGACAAGCTTACGTGTGACTGGTATGTTCTCAATGCAAAAAATCACGCAGCTCAGCAGCGAATGCAAAACACTACTCAGGCTGAGGATCCAGAAAACAGTCAAGTCTCAACTCACAAACATCGATCTTACACTTTGAAGGGACCGGCACAGGTCTCGACTCAGACAGAGTACTTTGGTGCTCCAAGAGGCTCTCACACTGCGCCACCACCATCTGCTTTCCATACTTCTAATACTGTCGCCTTCGATTACGAGGCTCTTCTGGACTCTAACGAAGACCACGTCTACAACGAACACTTGGCTGAAACATCACTCGAAGTGAAAGTTTCACGGGGGAATCGAAATTTAGGAGTAAGTGAAGACAATTGATCTTGGATACAATTACTGACGTGTTGTTTTGAAGGATATCCCATTGTTGACTTGGATGGATGATCGGGACCATTTTCTTTTAGAACTCCTCCGTCTGGAGGGTCGCGGCAATTTTTTACATCAGGAAGCATGTCGAGGTTCTGCAGGATGCATGAATGCCCCTGAATTTCGATGTGAAGATTGTCTTGGTACTGAGCTCTATTGCAAGGCGTGCACGGTAGAAAGGCATATAGAAAATCCAACCCACAGAATTGAGGTAGGTGGGAATCTAGCAGTGCTCACTACTTCGCACTGATTGACTTGCGCAGTACTGGAACAGCCAACATTTCGAAGACACTAACCTGCGGGATCTTGGGCTGCAAGTTCAACTCGGACACCCCCCTGGTGAACGTTGTTGCAACCCGTCATTGGTTCATAACGACTTCGTGGTCCTCGATATCAACGGAGTGCACAATATTACACTCCACTTCTGCGAGTGTCAAACAGCTCAATCTCGTACGACGCAACTCCTTCGCATGCGTTGGTTCCCAGCAACTACACTGGATCCGAAGACTACCACAACATTTCGACTTCTCCACCACTTCCATGTTCTTTCGTTTGAATCGAAGGCCTCCACTTTCGAGTACTGGCAGACACTCGCACGCTTGACCAACAACACAGGCGTTAACCCACCAAAGGTAAGTTTTCAATTTGGTTTGACTTGTTCATTCATCATTGCTCACAACGGCTCACAGGATCGCTATAACGCTCTCTTACGGATGGTAAAGGAATGGCGAAACCTCACCTTACTCAAGCGTTCAGGACGGGGCCATGACCCTGGTGGGGTTGCGGCGACACAACATGGTGCTTGTGCAGTACTGTGTCCTGCTTGCCCCCATCCGGGCAAGAATCTTCCAAATGGCTGGGAAGATACACCGTTTGAGGAAAGGTATGTTATGGATTGGTCTAGTCCGTGTAGCGTGTTCACTCACAGAATGATCTAGATGGAAATATTCCTTGTTTCTAGCAATCGATGCGAATTTTCGACTGGCGCGCAAAAATGTATCATCCGACAAGGCCGACCCTGGTCTTAACAAAGGTTGGGCGTACTTCGTCGAAGAGGGGGCATTCAAGAAGTTTCTCCATGACACTGGAAAGCAGCCGCAAGAGGTGCGGCCATCTATCTTAGCCGTATCACACTCGCTCACCCACTCATCACACAGAAAAGTAGTTGTGCGAGCCACAACGCTGTAAACTTGGCCGAGACTAAAAACTCTCGCGGTTTGGCAGCAACAGGGGCCGGCACGGTCGATTGTTCACGCCACAACATGAAGCGTCCTTGCGGTGTCGGCGATCTCCAGAAGGGTGAGCGGTAGGTGAGAGTTTTACTAATTACCGCACCACTCAACGTGTACTATAGATACATCAATATGGACTACCTATTCTTCTCTACCTTGCAATACTCGAAGGACGTAGTCACGCTCAACGTGTCCTACGATATAGCGTGCCAATGGAGCAAGAACATATGGGATCGTATGGCTACATACCCATGTCAAATGCACGTGGAACGCAGCACAAAAGAGTTTGTGTTCCTCGTTCCGAAATTCCATCTTCCCGCACACGTCGCATTCTGCCAAGTAACGTATTCACACAACCTTATCAAAGGGATGGGTCGGACTGACGGGGAGGCACCGGAGCGCGGGTGGGCGAATATAAATCCTGTAGCAACGAGCACTCGGGAGATGGGCCCTGGCTCACGCCGCGACACCCTCGATGATCATTTCGGAGATTTTAACTGGAAGAAAGTGACCAACTTTCGTGAGTGGAACCTACACCGCGCGATTGGAACCTCTTACTAACATTTTGGTTTCAAGACATCAGTCTATTCCAAAAGCTCGTAGCGGCCATACCTCAACGTGATCAGCACCTCATCGACTTCAACGATTTCAATGACACATTGGTTGCCGAACGACCAGAGGAAGTCGCTCGGTGGAAGCAGGCTATTGAAGGCTGGGAAGCCGATAGATCACAGACGAATCCCTTCGAGGTTACAACTACAAGTGCGTTTGTTCTTTTATGACGATTTTATATTTCTCATTCTTTCGCAGCCATGTCTCTCGCAGCGGTACGACTGCGTCTCTCGCAGAAGGAGGCAGAAGATTTAGAACATGGCCTCAACTACTCGCTGCATACCAAGGTATCCCCAAGCGTTCTCGTGTCATCGGGTATTGAAATCGAGGACCATCAGTAAGTTTATATCTCCCTTGTATCTTTATCTCAATGTTTTTTTAGACGCCGGCTGGAAAGAGAGTATGCTGCCTTGGGAGCTCACGCAACGGACCTTCAACTTACGAAATTGCAAGAACGAAGCAATGCACTACAACGCAAAATCGAGCAATGGTGCAAGGTCCAGGTATTATACATGCCTACAGTCGTCCGTGTTCGCGCATCCGATACAGCTAGTACCGTAAGCTCACGGGAAGAAAAACCCTACGAGGTCAAACTGTGGTTACCGTCCCAACTCAAAAGGGCTTCAAACGAATTCTGCGAGGAGCGTCTGTGCAGATATGAATGGGAGCTGCGACAGGCACAAGCATTTGATGCTCTCGATGATCTCCGTCGACACCTCCGACTGCGCAGCCACTTATTCAAGTTCAAAGACAATCAATTGCGTGGCCAGCGGGCGAATACACGTGCAGCGGGAGTTCTCGCTAAGGTGGATCTTAGCATCAAGACAGATGCAGAACGGTACCGTAGGGCCTGGACTGCTCTAGTTATCCTGGGCGACATTTTGCAGGAACATAGCTGGCGAGATGATCTACTAAAGCTAGAACCTGAGCACGTTCGGGGAATGTCTGATGGCCACGTAGGCCAATCCGAAGGTAATCGAACTTTATCGTGGATTTGGAAGGCACGTGGCGTCACTACTGGAGACAGGGAAGGAGAGACTGTTCTTGCTGAAGGTAAGAAATTGTCCATTAAATTGATACGAGCTAAAACACTATTACACAGCGCTACGTGTAGAGTGGTGTAAATCTCGGGCACGCTCACACCATTGGACAGAAGAAGTCGAGCTTCTCCAGGAGGAGATGCGGCGCGTGTGCACATTCTTCAACTGGCACGCGGCATGGTGGATGGATCAGGCAAACCGGAGGACTGGGTTGGACGCTGCAGAGTTAGAAGGCCTTGCAGCGTATGCAAGGCGCCAGGCGGTCCTTCAGATCATGATGCGGGACAACTGTCTAAGAAAATGGCGTGCAGTTCCTGCGGCAAGCTTACCCCCAGCAGTGGCTGCGCCCTGAATACATACATTGCTTCTTTTCCCCTATGTGTTAAGAACGTGCTCAAAGGTCGGATCCGAAGGGCTTGGCTTCAGCTCGTGCGCTGCGCCCCTTACCCGAGTACGTGCCCCTAACTTCCGAGGGTTGTTGAACGATGTCCGAAGGTTACCGGACGATGTCCGGAGGGCGTCGGGCGATGTCCGGAGTCCGATGTCCGATGCGCGGGAATTCCGGCGGACGTTCGGAAACAAGAGATAAGACTAATCCGGACGAAGTCCGAACTAGAAAGGAAACAGCGGAGGACTACCAGAGGTAGAGGCGGAGGTGTCAAGTCTATAGGAGTCGATCCTAAGACGAGCGGAGGTCGACGAGAGAGAAACTCAAGTCGGACGGAGGAGAGAATGAGCAGAGTCTAATATGATATTCGAACTGAGGAAACTACAGAGATTGTACAGGGGTTTATATACTACTGAGGACATAACGGAGAACAGTAAGTGCAGTGCGAAGCTATGTAAAGCTATGAAGAAAACATATGGGACGACTATCACTAGTCTATCGGAACTTAGTAAAATGAAGACGGAAATGAATAAGGAACGGAAAATAAAGCGTACTAACTGATAAGGGAAATACCAAAGGGATAAGGCGCGGAAGTTAGACGCGGGTCGGATCCGGACGATACATAGAAGTCGGCCGGATCCGGAAATCCGGAAATGATGAGTGTGATAGGTCCGGGTCCGGAACGCGGGATATGACAGTATCCCCCCTTTAGGGCCGAGCCCACGAGGCTTCTGATTCGGAAGTCCGGACCGGTGAAGGTACAACAATTCAGATGGTGAGTCTGAACAATGTTGGGTCTTGCAGAACCTAGCTGCTATTCGACCCTAAAGGGTTTCTGGACTAGGCTCAAGGCTCAGAGGAGAGGAAATATCATAGAAAACTACTGAAGACTCTGACTCCTACTGGTAACTGGTGAAAAGATAACTTCCTTATGTAAGCTACAAAAGTGCCAACATAAGGTAAGGTAAAAACAGTCTCTACAAGCCCAGCCAGAAATGAATCCCTACACTGGACTTTTATGAATGCGAGATGATGGGCGGAGCTCGTAAAAATAGCACTGAGCATATAAGTAGGCCGGGGCGCCCATGAGACGTCTAAAACTTTCCCTTTAACTCCTATTACTGCTTTTAACATGTCTAACTCCACTTCCGGCAACAAGAAGACCGCCCGGCAGGTTCTCGAAGAGAGACAGGCGGAAATGGCGGCCAAAATTGCGCGGCTTGAGGCGGACGCTCGGAGAGAGGCGGAGGAAGAGGAACGCAAACGCAAGGAGGCGGAAGAGGAACAGAAACGGATGGAGGAGCAGAAACGGAAGGATATCGAGGAGACTCGGAAGAGGTTGGCTGAGCGCGAGCAGGAGCGTTTGGCAAAGGCTAGGATGGGTAATGCGTCGGAGGTGAGTCGGATGAGGTTTTTTGCGTTTTTCCGGAGTTTAACAATTTTTAGTCCTCCGGTCCGGCGGATCCGGAGGTTGCGTGTGAGATGTGCGTCCTTAGGCGCAAGATTTGCACCTGGGCAGTAGCGTCTAGGACGCCTAGGGTGAGTTTTTCTGTTTTGTCCGGATCCGGATGACTACTGATGATTTCCGAAAGATCCGGACTTGTGACCAGTGCCGCGCGTCCAAGGAAAAGTGCATCGGCGGAAATCCGCCTGTCAAGGCGCCGGCCGGCAAAGGCAAAGGCAAGAAACGCGCGCGTCCGGAGGGATCTCCAAGCCCCAAGGGCAAAGGAAAAAGACGTCAGCGCAGTCCGGAGGACATCGACGACGACATAGAAATAGTCTCCAATCCCCGGACGGTTATTGGAGAGGATCAAGACTGGACGGAGTACGACGACCAGGCCTGGGTCGCAGCCGCCAACAACATAGTTGCGGAACTGGCCCGGACGAATGGGCTGATGGAGAGGGGTATTGCAGCGGCAGAGGGAAGTAGAGCTGCGATGGACCGGGTGAGTGAGACCATGCTCCGGTTCATGGAGGAGCAGAGGGAGTTTCAGACTCTCTTCATGGAGAGTCTGAGGGGCGGTTTCCGGATGCATGTAGAAGATGCTCCGGAGGAGGAAAATGGGGAGGAGGCGGAAAAAGAGGCCGGCGGATCCGGCGGAGACATGGAGATGGACTCTTAGATCGTCGGATCCGAAGTCCGGATGTCGGACGCCTAAATAATGTACATATATGCATGTTTTTTCCTTACTCTTTGTTAGAAGTTGGTCCCGGCTTGTCCGGATATGCTGAATGGAAATCCGATAGAAGTTCCGGCGCATTTCCGAGTTCGGTTGCGAGTATCCAGGAAGTTTCTTCGTCCGTCCCTTCATATCCGGCCCAACGTACTAAGTATAGTAGTTGGCAGTGACGTCTCCGGCGGTCGATCTTGGAGTCCAGGATTTCGGAGATTTCGTATTCCGGTTCTCCGTCGACTAGTACCGGAGGCGGAGGAGGTTGGATGCGATTAGGGATAGTGTTCGGAGTTGCGGGTTCTAACTGAGAGACATGGAATACGGGGTGCACGGATCGCATAGCGTCCGGAAGATGGATGGTGAAGGAGTGGGTGCCGGGACGAGCGATGATGTCGAATGGTCCGAGATCCTTTTCCGAGAGCTTTTTCGATGGTCGGGTCGAGCGGAAATATTTTGCTTTGACGAAGACCTGATCTCCGACTTTGAAGTCCGGAGCAGGTTTCCGTCTAGCGTCCGCGGGTCCTTGATATCTTGCTTGGGCAAGGGACATTTCTTCTCGGAGGAATTGGTGAAGCTCATCTAAATCTATAGCATAATCCCGGGCGCGGGCGGAGGAAAGATCACGTTCCGGATGTATGGAAATGTTTGGGTGATAACCCTTATTGGCGAAGAAGGGTGAAACTCCGGTAGTAGCACTAGGAGCATTGTTGTAAGCAAACTCGGCCAAGGGTAACAGTTCCGACCAATTATCCTGCTGATAGTTGCAGTAGATCCGGAGGTATTGTTCTAGGGTTTGGTTAGCTCGCTCGGTTTGTCCGTCACCTTCCGGATGATATCCGGAGGTGAAATGGAGGATCATATCTAACGCTTTTCCGAGCGACCGGAAGAAGTGGGAAACGAATTCCGTACCGCGGTCGGAAGTAACATGAGACGGAACTCCGTGCTTGGAAAACACATGGAGGAGGAATAACCGGGCGAGGTCCGGAGAGGTGATGGTGTCGTAGGTCAGAATGAATATGGATTGCTTGGATAGTCGATCTATGACTACCAGGATGGCTGTGAAGCCGGAGGAATCAGGGAGTTGTTCGATGAAGTCCATGGATATAGAATTCCACGGCTTCTCGGGAATGGGAAGTTGCTTCAATAATCCGTATGGTTTGTGTCGCGGAACTTTAGCTCGGGCGCAGGTCGTGCAGGACTTAACATAGTCCTTCACATATGCGCGGATTCCGGGCCAGGTATATTCCCGACGGATAACTTCCAGGGTCCGGTTCTGACCGAAATGTCCGGATAGCGGGTGGTCGTGCGTATTCCGGAGCACTCGGAGACGGAGGTCATTGGATTCTGGAACGTATATACGGTTGTCGCAACGGAGGAAACCACTCTCGTCCACTGTCCATCTCGGGTCCGACGGATCCGGAAGATGACAGGAAGTGATAGGGTCATTAGGGAGGGCAGACAGAATGTCCTTATGAAGCTGCTCGACATCCATCAGTACAGCTGTCCGGAGCACCGGAATTGCTAGGTGTGATGCCCGGAGGGACGAAGCGAGCTGTTCTGTGGTAAATATCGGCCGGAGGTTGTGTGGATTAACTTGAGTGTAGTCCTTATCCCCCTCTTTGGGGTAGACGTCCCAACGTCTAGTTAGGCAGTCGGGCTTAGCTCCGAGTTTTCCGGGTCGGAAACGGATAATCAGGTTGAACTGGTGAAGGTATTCCGACCAGCGGGCCTGGCGGCGGGTGAGGAGTTTTGTGGTAGCGAAGTACTCAAGGTTCTTGTGATCCGTGACGACGTCTATCGGCTCGGCAGAGCCTTCAAGGTAGTGTCGCCAGGACCGGAAAGCTTCGTAGATAGCTAGAAGTTCCTTATCATGGGTGTCATAGTTGAGTTCCGGAGCCGAAAGGGTCCGGGAGTAAAAAGCAACCAGGCGGAGCTCCTGGTCCGGACATACTATAGAAAGTATTCCGGCGATAGCGTAGTCGGAAGCGTCCGTCTCAACGACGATAGGAACATCCGGCATCCAGTGCGTAAGCACCGGAGCGGTAGTGAAGGCTTTCTTGAGAGTTTCAAAAGATTTCCGGCAATCCTCGGAGAAATTCCAGGGAGCATCCTTGCGAGTGAGCCGCGTAAGCGGAACTACAATATCCGAGTAGTTAAAGATGAAGCGACGATAGAAATTGGCGAATCCGAGGAACGATTGAATATCCTTGACTTTCCGAGGTTCCGGCCAGTCGCAGATAGTCTGGACTTTGTCGGAGGACATTGTAAGTCCGGCCGGAGATAGGAGGTAACCGAGATATTCTACAGAGTCGGAATGGAATTCGCACTTCTCCGGTTTAGCATATAGCCGATGCTTCCGGAGGCGTCGGAGGACTTCAAGGACGTGTTTTTTATGAGATGCAAGGTCTGCGGAATAGATGAGGATGTCGTCGAGGTACACAATAACACAAATGTCAAGCATATCGGCAAAGATGGTATTGACAAAGCGCTGGAAAGCCGCCGGAGCATTGGTGAGACCCTCCGGCATAACCAACCATTCATACGAGCCGTAGCGCGTCCGGAAAGCAGTTTTCCACTCGTCTCCTTCCGCCATCTGGACTAGATGGTATGCGGACCGGAGGTCGATCTTAGTGTAAACTTTAGCGCGGCTCGGAGAATCGAGAAGGTCGGAAATGAGGGGAAGCGGGTAGCGGTCTTTCTTTGTGATTTTATTGAGTCCTCGGAAATCTACACAGAGGCGTAGGGAGCCGTCCTTCTTTTTGACGAATAGGACAGGGGCTCCGTGCGGAG